AAAGAGGAGGACGACGGCGTAGATTGGGAGTTGGATGGAGATGGTGAGCAGTAAGTAGTCGAATGGGACTTCGACTCTGGTAGGGGGGTAATGAAACATTTATCTTTCCGTTCTATTCCTTGTACTACTAGCGCCCATACTGGCGCCTGTCTTAGCGCTCACCCGCAGGTTGAACATTATGTAGCTTACATAATGGGGTCCGTGCGCACTTCGTGCCTGGTATCGTACCACTACGTTTCTTTCTTCACTAACACGACCACATAGACACGATGGTCCGTGCGCAGTCGGTACTTGTATAAGTAGTTGTACCATTAGTCGGTCGAACCCTAAGTTCGACCTGGTTATTCATTCAAGTCTCTGCTCCTCTTCGCTTGGGGTAGTGGTCATTCTCGACTTCCTCGCTCGATCTTCAGGACGACGCACTGTCCATAAGCCCTCGCTCGTCATCTACAAGTCAGGCATCAATATAGGAGTGTAGACCGTTGTATCAAAAATACATTATCGAATCGCGCAGAAGCACCTTCATCAAATATGGGCGTTTGGTGTCCTCTCGAGCGTACTGAAGGAACTTGTATGCTGACAAAATGAACAATACGCTTTCGAAAAAGAGAACTGGAATCCAATATGCCCAGGCATATGGTACTATAAACCCCGGGATGCATCCTGTAATGCTGTGCACAGCCTGGGGCAAGAGCTGGGCTAAGATGAAGACTGGTACGACTATGATATGCACATGCCGGCTCAGGTGACTGAGGATCATTCTGATGGACATAAACGCACCTTGAAGATTATAGAAAATCTTGGCGAGTATGACACATTCAACGGACAGCTCCGCTACGAACAGTGCACATAGTCCGAGCGACAACTTGCGGTTGCACTTGTACACAACGTGGAGTCTCAAAATCAGGATGGCTGCAAGACGAGCTGCTCAATGCAAACATCTTCCGCAGTGAAGGTGGCCTACCGGATATTGAAATCCTGGTGATGATCGTCGCGTACATGAACCATCTCCACCAGAATGTGCATCTAAATAATATATCAGTGAAAAGGATAGAGTGGGAAGTGCTAAACTCACGCCTAAACTATCATAGTTGGTACTATAAACCAATAATACGACTAGGTACTCACCGGCACATCTGCAATGTACGTTGTTGATAATGCTAGAAGAAGCCAATGTAACTCTAAACAACATCGCGAGAAACTGTTACAAAACGCACAAATGTTGTCGTATCTACACCATCGTTTGATCAGGATTTCGGCCCAGGGTGTGTTAATCGCTTACATCAAGTTTAACATACTAATAAAGCGAGCCGTTAGGCGAGCATTAGTAAGAAGACAGCAAAACGTATGCCAAAGCTTACGGCCAATATCTGTTCTGAATAACGCCATGTGAATTCAAGCACCCAAGAGCATTCTGGGACCGCACTCACCAGCCAAAAGAGAAGACGCGGCCAAACGAATCGCCCTCTCCACATATATTCAACCTACGACATGTCAGTCCCAAGCTGTGGATCGGGAGCTAAGACATCATACCTCTTCCTCAAAAGACAGGACTAGTGTGTGTGTGCAGCAGTCGCATTGCAAGACATCATGTCAGAACTCACCATAATCGTAAAGCATGACGACCATGGCCGCTACTGAAAGGTTAAGGACATCAGGTTCTCTCGTGCTATTGCTGGTTAGTCAATAGAATAGGCATCAACAACTCACACCAGAACGATCGCGATGTCCGGTATGCATTGCCGAGCTTTTGCAGCATTCCTAGAAAGCCTTCAATGAACGTAGGATCGGCAGCAAGCGTTGCCATGACTGCCAGATGCACGGGTACGGAGGGGAACAAAAAGTCTAGATTGCATTCGTGAGAGCGATACTTAACACAATTATGACCGCAGAGACACTGACAATTGATTCCCATGGAACACCACTATATCATGTTCAAGTCCACATTGATGCAGGCACTGATCTCCAGTTACTAGGTATATGGGCGGCAGATGATGCGATGCAATTTGATGTCGGTGTACCACTGTCATGTGAGAGGCCAGGAGGTGGCCAGCGACGAACTTCCGCCTGTCGCTGGCGAGCAGGATCTCTATGGGGATGCGGGTTTTCGACGCGTCCGTTGCTGCCCACAGGCTCCACCGGCGTACCTGAAATGGCATACTTGCACTTGACGACATGGACATCGCCGGTCTCACGAGTTTCGCGTACAGGTGAATAAAACGGATGTACCTCGTAGTACTATACATCTGAGCGCCTGCGAGACGCTGGCTTTGAAGATCCCGGTGCAAGGACGTGTTATCGACACGGGCTGGTGGAATGTCGGTACCGAACGCGTGAGAGGTTAATTCCTATGTACGTACATCCCAATTGCAGCATGTATATCATCCTACTGTGTATTGCATGCAATAGCAGCATAGCGGCCTCGGAAGCCCGCGCGCGTCGGGCAGTAGCTTGACGACCTCAATGAGTAAGCAGGGGTACTGAGCAGCGAGTGACAATACGCACAATATTCGCCGCACGAGACTAACGAAGTAGGGAGGAGCGAGCTCCCGAAAGTGGATGGGCAGACACATCTTGTGGTTTTGATTGATCGAGGCGCTGCTCCAGACACCGAACGGTGATCTTGGATAATGAAAGAACTGTAAATGTCCATATGGTGAGCTGCAGAGACGGCCGCAGATAGACGCGTAAGAGCGATGTATGCACGATGCTCTCGAAAGCTGATGTACAGCATCAGCATTGAGACACATGATTGTAGAGGAACCGAAGTTCGAAGACATACGCGTTACATAAGTGTGCATAACGACTGCTGCAAGCCTGTAGCGGCCTTCTGAGTATCATGTATTGCGAGCTTATGCTGAGTATAACCTGCTCGTCTGCTATGGCATAACAGGGAGGATAGCTTGAATGTTGTATTCAACATGATTGGTTTGAGAGTAGATTAGGAATGCAGCCACAGGACTGATGAACCGAAGACTCAGGTCAGAAGCCGGAAGATCTACCACTGGTGTGAAAGAAGAGTCGATAAGATCGAACTACGAGGATAACGTTGTGCGAGGGTACAGGAGAGGACATCTCCGATTGCCCTGAAGAGAAGGAAGTACAGCGTGGTGACATATCACCGGCCACCATATGGTCGTCCTGCGGGATGGGATACCTGGGCACAACCAGACGACGGGCAAAACTCACCCTCGTGAATAGCAAACCACACGTCAAACCACAACAAACGGGAAGCCTGATGCGCAGACGTTTGCCGTAAAAGTATTTGAGTGCCGCTTCGCTCAAGACACTAGGACGACAGGAGCCGTGATACCTGCCGTCTGAGAGTCGCGATGTGGGTGAGAAGCTGATATCGCATTTATACCTGCGACAGCGTGTCTGAAGTTAAGTTCAAGCCTGAAATCTCATTGATGGCGATCACGAAGCACGCTTATGCCGGTTCAGCCGCAGCCGTACCTTTGGGTTCAGTATTCATAACCCTGGAAAGTGATATTCTGGGAGGACATATACAAAAATTGACTGACTGGCTAACTGCATGTATCCGTTTGATGTGGTTGCTGACGTTGTGCAGTTGCAGTTCGTACCATCTGTGGGGCTATTCATCCTCCACAGCTGCATCTGTAGGACTTGAATAGCAGCCAGATGGTATTGCATGCAGGACGTGTACTATAGCACATTCAAGTGAAGTCCGAGCATTGACTCGAGTAGGTACTTATAATGCCATCAATCACGTGCGCCTCCTTGATCGAAGCGTGAATCCAGTTGCGAAATTCATTCCAGGATCAATTTCTGCAACAAACCCTTCACCTCCAAAACTTTCTCTCTTTATTGTTACTGCAGCGTCATAGAGGATGGTATCTGCAATGGCGCCTGGGAAAAAAAGGCAGGCAGCCTCCCAAGCAGGACCTAAAACCAAGAAGCTGCAATTGGAGAAGACCCCGGCGGACAAGGGCAAGAAACGCAGCCAGCCTATTACCCGACCTTTGCAAGAGGAGACCCTTGACAACTCGGATGAGTCGGACGGGGATGAGCCAGACGAGGAAGAGGTGATCGTGGAGGGAGAGGCCCAACCGGCAGTAGCAAAAGATCCAAACGGTACGCACGATGAACCCTGTCTGTATCGGCCTTCCAGTATTCATGAGTACTCCAAGCGGCCAGGGAGTCTCACAAGGCACAAAAGGTCCTACACGAGCAACGGAAGGCGTCAAAACCGCATTTTGATACCCTCGCGCAAGCCAAGAGCGCATGGAGGCTTGCACATCAAAAATCGCTCCCGAAGGCGGAACGCACGAAATATATCAACCAGCTGATGGACGTCATACGGGGTCATGTCATTGACATTGTGTTCAAGCACGACGCCAGCCGCATTGTACAGACGGTCGTCCGGTACGGCGGAGAGAAGGAGCGGAATGAAATCGCAAGCGAACTGAAGGGTCGTTTTAAGGAGCTTGCGCAGAACAAGTATTCCAAAGTGAGTCTATAACACACGCTATGGGACCGAGTGTTTTCTGACGGCAAGTTATGCGTTAGTTCCTAGTGACTAAGCTCATCCGGCTATGCTCGGCGCATAGAGCCTCAATACTACGAGAGTTCCAGGGATCAGTCCTCCGTTTACTTCTCCACCGTGAGGCATCAAGTGTGCTTGCGGACGCATTCGAGCTGTACACGAACGCATACGAGCGCTCAATGCTGCTGCGTGATTTCTACGGCAAGGAAGCGAGCCTATTCACGGTCACTGCAGGGAGTGAGGAGGAAAAGGAGCGCTCGAAGAAGGGGCTGAAAGGGATACTCGAGGGTGTGGAGGGCGAGCGGCGGAAGCGGATCATGGCTGCTCTAAAGGACAATTTGATGTCTATGTGAGTCTATCCCAACCTGTGCTTCCACTACTTTCCTAATGTTTGTTGTTCTGTTTAGTTTCAACAACCCAGATAAGGGCGCTGTGTCGCATGCAATTGTCCACCGCGCTCTATGGGAGTACCTCTCCACGGTCAACACAATTGAGGACGAAGCGGAGCAAGAAAAGCTGCGACGTGAGATCTTTGAAAGGTTTGTGCAGCCGCTTACAACTTGAATTCTCCCCACGCTCATGTTCTATCAGCTGTCAAGATGTGCTCGCTGAGATGGTTCATACGAAAGACGGCAGCCGCTCTGTCCGAGAATTGATTGTGCGGGGTACGGCTAAGGTAGATCAATATTTGGATGACACGGTAATTTTACTCACCTCGTCTGCTCCTTTGCAGGATCGTAAACACATCGTGAAAGCCATCAAACCCCATGTTGAGCGTATGTGCAAGGACGACGAAGCACAGCTCGTCCTCTTCACTGCCCTCGATGTCATTGAGTATGCTTTAAGACACCCCGTCAGCGCACACTTCGCTCATGCCTTCCACAGCGATACAAAGCTGACGGCAAAGTCACTCGTGTCCGACGTCATCTCAAGTGCAACATCGCTTTACCAATCATCGCAGGGACGGCGATCGCTGATTTATCTGGTCGCGCCGAGGACACGGCGGCATTTTACCCCTGCTCAGGTAAGGCATATCAAATATCGTTCGACCTGGTGACTGATATCAGTGAGTTGCAGATCAACTTGCTCGCAGAGATAGATTCTGTGCGCGCGCAGACAAGTAAAAAGGACAGCGATGTACGCTGTGCAGAGATCCGGCGGGCAGCGTCCGACGGCCTGCTATCGTGGATCGCAGAAAATGGAGCCGCGATCTCACGGGACACAGGGGGGTGTCTCGTGGTATGCGAAGTAATGCTCTATGCAGAAGGAGGTGAGGCGACAGCGATTTTCCATTGGTATAACTCGCTGGTTGCTCATGACTGTGTCCTCCAGACAAATCCGCAGCGTCAGAGACACTGCTGAAAGCGCTCTCTGCTACCTGCCCAGCCCCCGACCCGGCACACCCACATCCCATCTCTCTACCGCACACATCTCGTATGTACAAGACCCTCCTACAAGGCGGGCACTTCTCGCATACCACGCGCACCATCGAGCCTGCGGCACTGTGGTCTGCACGCGATTTTGCAACAAAGTTCGTCGAGATCGTAGGGCGCGACGTTATTGTTGCGATGGCGCGTGACGAGGGCGCCTTTGTCGTCGCGGCACTCTGCGAGCAGTTAGCTGCGTCCGACGCAGAGGAGAAAAAGACGCTGCACAGTTGGTTTACTAAAGGAGTCAAGAAGGAGATTGAGGATGCGGCCGGCAAAGGGTCCTCGGTGCTCCTACAGAGTCTGAAAGCCTTAGATTGAATGCTCCATCTATTGTCGACAGGATATATGCTATCGTATAGTGCCCAAAACCCCTACTCGGGTCCTTTCTGGGCTATTGGAAGTTATGGCGTACAAATTTATTGCTACAACAAGGTAGGCAGCAGACGGTCCGTGTGGCGCTCGATGCAAGAGGTGTGTATACGTGAAGGCGGAAACTCGAATGGTACGTACTGATCGACGATCAAGTTACAGCTCCGAGTTCGGCTCAATCTATTGAAGAAGGAGGTTGAGATATTACTACTCTGTGCCATGCGCGTTGGCGAGCTCTTTCAATATTGGACGGCCTTTGAGGATCCCTATGTCTGCTGAGACGATTTTCGTCTTTTTGAGGGGTCTGATGAGGTTCTCCTTAGACATCTTGGTCATCGTATCGACTGTGATATCATCCGCAGGTCGTTTCCTCGAGCATTGCAGCATGCTATGCATCTCGTGAGCATTTGGTGGCAGTGATAGGATCCAGGCTTTGCTCTCCATGAGCTCAAAGAACTCCTTGAGCAGCGGCGTGCTTTGTAAAGTCTTCCGAGACCCGAAGATGATCAGCTTGGAGCGCGCGCGTGTGAATGAGACATTCATCCTGCGCCAATCCTTCATCAAATCCCCGACCTTGCAATCGTTGTTCTCAGTCTATCCACGCCATGCCAACGGAGGGACATACCTGGCCTTCGTCATTGGACCGCACCATGGATATAATGATACAATCCTTGTCACGACCTTGACTGCGATCGGCTGTCAGAACCTCGACGCCCTTCCTATCTTGCAGCAAATAGGAAAGTAGCTTGATCTGCTGCCTGTACAAAGACAGGACACCGATCTGGTCCTGGCTGATACCACTGCCGATCAGGCATTCAGTGACTTGATGGACTAACTGTGCTTCCACTTGGTTCTCCACCAGGTCGCCTACAGGTGAATCATGGGCAGGAACGGCATCCGTATCAACAAACACGGCCTTGCACCTGGTACACAAATAATGTTAAGATCATGGAAGGAGTGTAGTCGCTGAACGTACCTCTCGTCCATGAGTTGACTGAGCCAGCACGAATCTTGTGGCCGCGAACAGGAAGGATTACTGAGATGCATCTTACGGAGAAACCCAGGGTCTGGTAAAACCAGACTGCGCCTTGCAACTGCTTCAGAGCCACACCGTAGGCGGTCGCTGTAGATTAGTCTATTCGACAGCAGCATGATATCTGCGTTCATGCGATACTGCTCAGTGAGATCGATCACTGCATGGGGATGCGCATCGGAAAGCCGCCGGAATAGTGAGACATCGAGACCGCCCTTTCGTGCAGCGCGATTGCGCACCTTGATTAAAGTGTAATGAGTGCGATGCATTGATAAGAAACAAAGGACATACGAGAGGTGGCAGTTGGAAATGGTCACCAACGAGAACAAATTTGTCTGCGAACCGCAAGGGACCCAGGCAAGTCGGTAATGTGATTTGGGATGCTTCGTCAACAATGCAATAGTCGAACTTCCGCCTCGCAAACAAAGGACTTTTACACAGTCAGGCCAGTCAGCACGCCCGTTTACATGGTGAACATTGCCGCTTACTGGTCTATAGAAAGGCAGGTCGTGGCAACAACGGGAGGGGTCATGACCTGATGCTCAAGTTGCTCGATGGTTGTCGCAGGACGTTTGCGAGCAAGCGTGAACCTGTGTACATCGGGGTGGATCTATTAGATATATATATAAGTACGTGACTAGAAGCTCATCACATTCGGAGACGCTCACTTTATCTAGGTTGCCCAGTCGCAAGATGCCAAAGTCTGCGACATCCTTCAGCTTGAGTAGAATAGTATCGACTGCCGAATGGGTGTAGGAGGCCAGCAATACCGTCTTGCCGATGTCAACGAGCTTCTGTATGATAGCGGCAATAACTGTCGTCTTCCCCGTTCCTGGCATACCGAGGATGAGCGCGTAATCTTGTGCACTCAGTACCTTCGTCACAGCGTGCCGCTGATTGCTATTCAACTGTGACATTGAGGTCAGCTTGGTGGATGGTACAGTCATCTCGCAGTCCTCAAAGCGTGGTGGGACAAGATCGACGACGAGCTGCAGTCTTCGCGTGTCACCATTGACATAGAAGAGCTGAGCCAGATTATCTCGTATCCGGCCCATGCCCCCAAACAATTCGTCCTTGTCTATCCGGAAAACGACTGAGTGATCGTGGATGGCGCGCCGCCCGCTCGTAAGCACGCGTATCGCATCCAGGTTGACCTCGTGGTCCACTCCTACGACGACGCCCTCAGGCGTGAGATCGACGATGAAGCCCCTGGCCATTGCCAGTAGATTGGGCTCTACAGAGACTGTGATCGCATCGCCACAGCTCATATGCCCGTTGAGCAAAGACGCGGCCGTCGTGTGCATGTTCTTCACGAAGCGATATGTGAAGCGATGGATCTTCCCATCCGCTTTGAGAGTGCTTTGAGATGCATCTGATCCAGGTCGATAGGATACGTCCAGGACCATGTCGCTGAAGCAACGACCACGCTTCTCGCGCTCCTGAGCGCCCATCGTCCAAAGCTCCTTCTTGAACCGTACTAGGTCTTGCTCCTCGAGCGCGATGAGTGCCTCCCACTTCTTGAAGAACTCCGACTGCGCATTTGTGAGATGCGACGTCTTCAGGGCATAGATATCGGCAATAGGCGACACAGTATCGACGACGTTCTCAACGGCCTAGACGTCGCAAGCGATCTCAGCGACGGTTGGTACCATAATCAGACCCTTCGACCTACCTTGCGGTAAAGCATGCAGGTATTCAAGGCATAGCACTTGCCACATTGCCAGGTGTCATCGATGGTCGGCGGCAGGAAAGACTCCACCTCGGACATGTCCTCCGCCTCGTGTTTAGCCTCGAGTTTCCCTGCCCCACTTTGCTGGCGCATCCTCCGCATCATATAGCCGGCCATCTCGTTGCGCGCGACCAGCAGTGCTCGCAACTCGTTGCGGACGGCAGGCACACGGACCACTTCGTCGTTCCGCGTGTAGTACAACAGTCCACTTGGGACTTCTGTGCCATAGCGCTCCGCCATGAGCAGGGTATACAGCATCGTTTGTGCACGGTGCTCCATTCCGGCGACCGCACGGCCCGTCTTGATTTCCAGTGGCATCGTCCAGCTCTGCATGGTGACCAACGGTGCTGCACGCGCGAACGGATTAGACGAGTTGTCCAACTCGGAGACCACAGCGTTTACGGAAGCGTCGACTTTGCCCTTTAGCCCGTACGTCGGCGACCAGATGTCCTCCTCGATATCGTGCGTTCTGGAAATCGCCAACAAGGACGTCTGACTCTGATTTGAGCGGGTGTTTGTGAGGACTGCCTGGTTCTGATAATGTCCTCGTCAGCTCGCAATCACAGGGAATGGCAGAGAAGGAGATTACTTTCGGCACTTGAGAGATGTACTTCTCCGCGAATGACTTGATACCTCTCGCCCTTGCCTTCATCTCCGACATGGCTTGTTCGACGGTTACATTGACTCTCATCAACTCTCCGAGGCCCTTGCCCACCTCGTTTGCGATCAGCTCTTCGACCCACTTGTCGTCCCATCGTCCGCTGCGCAGACATTCTTGCATCACTTCGTGGAGCATGTTACCCCAGACTAGCGAAGGTGTAGCGTCGACAGTGCCTCGAACAAGATTGGAGATCAGAGGTTTTCGGCGACATTGAGGGGCACTGGAGAGCGATGTGGCGGTAATGAGAAGGTCTGGATGATGGATGAACCAGTTCGCCTTAGAGCTGACCGCGACGGTAGGCAGTGGGGCAGAAGCAGAAGTCGAAGGGCCTACAGGAACCGTGAACTCGCCTATGACATTGACCACGTCGCCTGAAGCCCGAAATATCAGCAAAGATGCTCTCGGGTCAGAATCACGTCATCACCTTCGTATACGTCAGCGTTTACCCAGTCATCTTGGAGAATGACACAACGAGATTCCGCACAAGACGCAGTTTCCACGATCAATGTCTGAGAAGGCAGGTCTTCATGTTAGCCGTGAGAGTCAGGGGCAAGGCGACGAGCCCGAACGGAATGGCGTATACATTCCGGAAATCGTGCCCAAGTATCATTCAGGTACACATACCTTCTGAAAGCAGCCAGCTTCAATTTCTTCAGACACGCGTTTAACAGTACAACGTGTGCATGTTTCGGGATTGTACTCTGGAGCGAGAGTGACAAGGGGCTAGTGACAGTGTCAGAGAAGACAACATAGCGAGTGGCATAAACGTACAGGCTTGCTCGGAGACTTGGGCTTCTTTGGGGATTTAATCCTCTGTGGAGAGAACATATCGTTCCAGTCCCAATCCTCCGCACCTTCGAGCAGCTGCGCAATATCCTCATCTTCTGCCTGCCGTTTCTTTTTGGGTGTTCTCGGAAGCTGAAGTGTTTCTTCAATAGATGGCAGCGCGACATCTTGAGCCTTAAATGTATGTGTCGAAGCGGGTCGTCGTATGGCTTCGCTCTTGTCAGCTAGAGAAGATTTGTCATTGGAGGCATGGGTCCCTCCCAGCAGCTCTTTCATAAAGTCCTCCTCTTCGCGGGCAGTACGCAGTGCAGGAGACATGATGAGATCCTGCAAACACCTGTCTCGATGTGAGAATGAATTTGTGGTGGGTCCAAGAGTGCCACCTCCAACAGGGAGACTGATATGGCGGAATGCAGCGCACAAAGGGAAATTTCCACGGTATCAGATAAAGGTGTCGCGATGGAACATTAATTGCCTGAGGATCTGCAAACAGGGAACAGGTGCAAGATGGTAAACGGCGCGACGCGAGCGTGTTGATCGTGACGCGTTGGTCACGAGACCGAGACGCGTCCCGCGCCGCTTCGAAGTGCAGCGTTCTGCAGGTTGTTCTACTTCTGCTATTCTCTCGAAATCCAACCATCATCTTCCGAGTATTTTGGAGCTTGGAATTGTCCCTCTTTACAACCCACGTCTATATGCTCAAGGCCCGGAGTTAGGAGACTGACGACGCTGGCCCCTCTCTAGCCGTTGCAATCAAGGAGAACGCACATTCACTAGTTTGCTCCTTTTGATTGATTTCCGAACAAATGGCAGCATTATTACCATTTCACGAGGGTATCTTGGAGAAGATCCATGATCCTGCTACCAGTGATTTGCTCTTGCTCGCTCGGGGCCTTGGCTTGCGGAGGACTGTATGCAAGCTACTACAATTATACGACTCTCCAAAGAGCCTCGTGATCTTGGTTAATGCCTCCCAAGAAGAAGAGTCTGCCATTGGAGAGGAACTCGGCATACTAGGTTGCAGAAAGCCTGGACTTCGCATCGTCGGCTTCGAGATAGGAAGAAGGGACAGGTACGTGACTTGTTCTGCCGCTGGCCCCTGAGGCCTGTATTCAAGGGCTATAAGACAGGACCTGTACAAGCAAGGCGGTCTACTTTCTATAACATCACAAATCTTTACCGTTGACATGTTGTCGGGCGACGTGGACACCGAAAAGATCACAGGGATAATCATGTTGCATGCCGAGAAGTAGAATGCCTCAAGACTGTCTGTGCACACCTGCTAATCAGTAGTAAAGGGTGACACCAACCTCGCCTGAAGCCTTCATCGTCCGGCTATTCCGCGAAAAGAATTTGACAGGATTTCTGAAGGCGTTCTCCGACCAACCCGAGTACATAACCAGTGGCATGTCGCCACTACGAACGATCCTGAAGGAGCTGCAAATACGCACAGTCCACATATACCCGAGGTAGGTCGCAATGTAGCGGATGCGGGGGGCCTTGTGCCAATGCCATGAGTTCGTTAGATTCCACGCCGACGTCAAGGAATCCTTGGATCTTAAAAGACCCGACCTCGTCGAATTGCATCAGGCAATGTCTGAATCGATGTCCGAGATCCATCATGCCATTGTGCAGTGCATGTCGACAACATTGTCCGAGCTGAAACGCGCGAACGCCTCTGTGGGTAGTCTCGCAATATTTGAGAAACACGCATTGTCTGATGAGCGTGCAGTTGGACCTCGACGACCTCAACATCGATAACGCTTACTTCAGGTCGTTTGACATGATCGTCCGACGAATCTTAGACCCTGTCTGGCACAAAGTGGGGCCTAGGACGAAGCAACTCGTCAGCGACTTGGCTACATTACGACGTCTGCTAAAGTAAGCCACATTCTAGTTGTCATCTACTGTAGCGGTGCGATGATTTCTCTAGTTATTTACTCACCTATGACGCTCTGTCCTTCCACGCATACCTAGAGACGCTAGTTGCGTCCAATACCACTGCAGAATCCGGAGCAGCTCGCCAGCACCAGTCACCATGGATGCTGACCGATGCTGCTCATGTCATATTCGCCTATGCAAAACGGAGATGCTACACAATGAGTGCTGCAGCGAAGAAGGTCCCAGCACCCCCGCCCGTGGATAATCCATTTGATGATGAAGATGCCTGGGCCGTACTCGACGACCTTGAAGGGCGAACCTCAAATACACGCAACAACCAAGCAGGTACTGTCGCGAACGAGCCAAGACGACCGAAGTGGCTCCCGGACGGGATGGATCCGGTCTTGGAGGAGCTTCCCAAGTGGAGTCTCTTGGCGGACGTCCTTCAAGAAATCGAGGAAGAGATGATCAGACTGCAGTCTCGTCTGACCTCACGTAAGTGCACACTCATGCGTTGGTGACAATGGCTCATCGTTTTTATGTGACGCTATGGTTCGCCAGTTTCTCCTGGCACGAATACAGTGCTGATCATGACTTCCTCGCTCCGCACGTCTTCCGTGCTGAGTGACTTTCTGTCGGAGATGGACCTAGATGCCCTGCCCGGATCGCGCGGGCGCAAGATGATGGAGGACAAGCTCAGGCTGTATCTATGGTGGAAAGGCAAGTTAAGTGAACGAAAACAAGAGGGGCGCGGTCTCTTTGGCATGCCGGACAGCAGGAAGGACAAGGACAGTGCCAGTACGGACGTGAGTGAGGCGCTGAGGAAGAAGGACAGGGAGAGACAGCAGCGCGCAGCAAACAGAAGGCGTGTCCGTGGAGGCGTTCCGGCTCAGACGGCACCGAGAGAGCACAACAATACCGGTAGGGCGGACGTCCTCGGGGAGGGCACCATGAGAGAAGAGGCCGAAGACATTGCTGCATTGTGAGCAGGTCGTCATGAATACTATGCCATGCTTTCATTAACATGCCACAGCTTGTCTACACAAGGCGCACTTGCACCCGAATTTGGGGGAGACATCACGCTTCTTGGCTTTGGTCCCGACTATGACACGCACTATGGCTTACTGGCTCCGGAGCAGACCGTGTTGGTGCGAGCGTATTCAGATGACTCCGACGACAGAATGCTGCAAGAGATGCAGCCGCGCTTCATCGTCATGTTCGAGCCGAATCTGGAATTCATCCGTCGCATAGAGGTACGCACTGACTTGCCAGTTGATGTGTCGAGAATGAGAACCAATGCTCCAGGTATACCGCAACTCGAACCCCGGTTTGGGAGTGCGAGTATACTTCATGATGTACAAGCTCAGCTGCGAAGAAGGCAAGTACCTGACCGGTCTGAGACGAGAGAAGGAGGCCTTCGAGCGTCTCATCAAGGAGCGAGGGGTATGGGCACTTCACTCGATTCGTCCCCGTGCGATGCTGACTAGAGCCTGGCAGTCCATGCTCATGCCTATCATGGAGGAGCGGCGGTCGGGAACGGCAGGCGAGTCCCTCATAAAGACGATCAGCAGCAGAATCGCAGGCGGACAGAAGGAGGTTTCAGCGGAGTCTTCGCGCGTGCGTGGCTGCGCCTGCCGAGCCTGCTGTGTCTGACTTTCGCAATGCAGGTCATCGTCGACATGCGGGAGTTCCGCTCCTCCCTGCCTTCGCTGCTGCACGCATCGCATCTCCTGGTCATCCCCGTCACGCTCACCGTCGGCGACTACATCCTGACACCAGACATCTGCGTCGAGCGGAAGAGCATCCCAGATCTGGTGTCGAGTTTCAACAGCGGTCGACTGTGTGTCTTCCATCATGTCCTGTCCAGGCCGCGAAACTGACCTCCCCACTAGGTACACCCAATGCGAGCTCATGTCCGTCCACTACAAGCAGCCCATCCTGCTCATCGAGTTCGAGGAACACAAGTCCTTTTCCCTCGAGGTACGGCACCCATCGCCCCATGCTCCTCCCTCCCGCTCCCGCGCACGCTGACCCCTCCCAGGCTGTCACCGACATCAAGTCCTACGCAAAGCCGTCTGCGAAATACCCCGCTAAGAAGAAGCCCGGGGCGATGCCCGCCGAGTCCGCGCCCGGCGCGTTCGTGCCCAGCGCGTCCGCGAGCATCCAGGCGAAGCTGGTGCTGCTCACGCTCACGTTCCCACGCGTGCGCATCATCTGGTCGTCCTCGCCGTACGCGACCGCGGAGGTCTTCCGCGACCTCAAGGCGCACGCCGCGGAGCCCGACTCCGCGCGCGCGGTCGCGGTCGGCGCGGAGGATGACCCCGCGCAGGGTGCAGGCGTGAACGCCGCGGCGGAGGAGCTGCTCCGCGCGCTGCCGGGCGTGAGCGCGAAGAACGTGAAGCATGTGGCGGCCAAGGTCGGCAGCGTGCGCGAGCTGTGCGCGCTGAGCCTCGCGCAGGTGCAGGAGATCCTCGGCGTCGAGCCGGGCAAGGCCTGCTGGGAGTTCATCCACGACGGCGAGCGCCGGCGCTGACGACGACGAGCGTGTTGGGTGTCGTGGATGTTGTTCCAATAGCTGTACTTTTCGCATACATTCCTCCATTAGTAGCACATAGCCTACAGCAGTCTACCCAATACAATGTGTTCGCTCTGTGATCTAACCCGGGATCTACCTCTAGGTTCATGGATCTACAACGGTCCCACAATGGCCGGCCACCTCTCACGCGATCGGGCCTCCCGGCAGAGAGACTGGCACAGGTGCGACGACGCCCTCCGTCATCGGCTCCCGCGAGTCGCCCGGCTCGCCCATCATCTCGCGCATTCTCTGCGTGTTCAGCACTTTTGCGTACTTCGGCTGGATGAAGAGCGCCCTGCCGAGGTGGAATGCGGCCGTCAGCATGGCAGCCGGGCAGACGGACGTATGTGTGCACGTACTCTGCTTCCACAAGGACGTTACCCTGCGCATCCTCTATCCGGCCCGCGACCTTCGCCTTGCGGCCCTTGGCCTCTACCAGGCGCGTTTTGATGACTAGAAACTGTCCAAGACGACGTGAGCATGCCTGCCTTGCCGGAGCGGGGTGTCGCAGCGTACCTGGTCTGCACGCGTCGGTGCACGGTAGTTGAGGTTGAGGTACGCAGTGACACCAATCTTGTCCGGGAGGTTCAGCAGCGCCTAATAGATATTGTTCGGCGACCGCAGGATTCATACCAGCGCACGACCCACCTGTCTCCCGAGGATCTCATCCAACAGCGTCGCCAGCATCCCGCCGTGCACGATCCCCTCGTGCCCACACACGCCGCGGCCGACGTGGACAAACACCATGGCCTCGCTGTTGTCGTGCTTCGCGCGGACGAGCGGGGGGATCGCGAGCTTGCCCGGCCCGCTGAGCGCGCCGCCCGTGAGGCTGTTGACGCGGCGCTCGGGCGGGAGGTTCAGGTACGGCCGGGTCTCGTACCAGTCCGCGGCGTCTGCGCGGGCGCGGGCGGCGGCGAGGGCGGGGAGCGTCTGGAGCGCGTCGTCGAGGGCGGCGACGTACGCGATGTGCTGCGGGTCCTCGGGGTGGAGGGGCGGGGGCGCGCTGCGGGGCGAGATGAGCGTGGCAAGGTCGGGCGGGTAGAGGGAGCCCACGGTGTATGCAGCGACGGCGATGGTGGTGTACGCCGAAAGTGCGCCCAATGTCCTCAGAGCGGAGCGGGGCGCCGCCGAGGTGGACGTGGACGTGGACGTGGACGTAAAGCGTCGCGGTATGCGCACTACGCACGGCTGGCTCAGAGCGCGGCGTAGAGTCGTTGCAAGCATGGTACTGTATAATATAATTCGATGCGTGAATGGGACTCGGACGTTGCTAGTCGTGAGGTCTGTAGTATAAATCCCCTGCAAAAAATCAGGCCATACGTTCGCAACAGGACGACAGTGGGATGCGCACCAAATGGCAGGCCTGAAACGACCGTACGATACACCAAACCACGCTATTGCAGACCACACATACGCTGCAGGGTACAGGCAAGGGGCAGGCGTACCGTTGATTTCCGGCACCAACCCTAGTGGTGGTAGTGGCCCAATCGGTGACCGGGGTCCAGCGCTAAACTATCTAGCTCGATTTCCGTAAACAACTTCCTACAAGCGCAGATCCTCGAATTGAGCTCTTGGAAGTTTGTAGCATCATATACCTGATATATCTTTTGTCTCTGTGCCCCTGGAATGTTGATTCGATAGACGAGGCCTTTTTAAGTGAAGAATAGCAAGCGCAACCTTTGGGCGCTTGTCCCGTCCTGCGCGCTCATGTCTTGTTTGCAATCTAATCTGATCTGTCCCTAGGCTCGTACTACTATACTTTACTGCGAAGTCCGCGACTTTAGCATGGCTCGTGTATTCTGGAACGGACTACGAATAGATGGATTTGTTGTATAACATGTGCAATAGATCTGATCTGATGGATTTTCCTGCAAGTCTAACTTCGACCACTGTTCATGATCTCCTCACAACGATGGAATCCGACTCCTTGCTTCCGAAATCTATCATTCTTGAAGATCACACAAGGCACATCGCCTACTGGGATCAATATCTGAGGAGATACAAAGTTAAATGCGACATCTGTACAATGAATATTGGGCTTACCAAGAATGCGTATCCCGAGCCACTCGAGTCCCATCGGAATTCAAGACGTTGTGCCAAGTACCTACGCAAGATGGAGAACGAGCAGAGGCGGCGTGAGCTTGCTGGAATACAAGCTCTTTTGCCTCACACGACTACGGAATCTACGGCAGTGCTGTCCTCGATCAGCATGAACAGCGCATCTTCCATCTTACCATTAGCCCATACCTCCAAGCTGTCAGTACCACTACACTTATATGAGGTATGGTTCCGCTGTCCGGTCTACCGAGAATGCGCCATGCACCAATGTGCCGATTTACTGCCCACTGTACCCAACAACATTGTCAGGGAGCCTTAGAACAATCTGGAGGTATAATGTTCTATTTCACCTCGCATCTGAGCATGTAGTGGACGCCACAATGCCAGCGATCCCTCCTCAACTCATGGTGGACATGCATATTTCGAAAGCAGAAGAATGGAGGTTAGGAATCAAGGACAAGCTCACGATGGTATGGAGGGAGGAAAACAATATCCCGGGCAGTGATGAAATTTAAGCCCAGCATGAGGCGTTGAAGCGGGGACGCGAGCGAGCGGTCTCGACTTCAGTAGGAGGACAAGTCAGTGAGGCGGTTTACCATACTTAGATCGTAGGTGGTGTACAGTTGGACGATCTAATCATAGATAACGAGGATACCCCACCCAATCGGTGACCGGGGGCCAGCGCCAAACTAACGAGGGTTGCTATCAGAAATCAACGGTACGCCTGCCCCTTGGGTACAGGCGACACGAAATGGGTATGCAAGCGCTGCTCATAGACTTACATATCGGATTCAACGCCCACTTTGAGAATAGGCCATGCAGCTTCAACTTGCTTAGCGACATCTGCCATACCTTTGCTATCGCTAAAAGAAAACCCCGTCTGGCCGGGAAACACTCCGCGGTGATAGCAGGCAATTTGGGTTCGATCAGGACGGGGCGAGCAGAGTAGATGGGTTTTATTTGCTGTAGCTACCGGTCACAAGTTGGGAGGAAGGTAGTGGTAAGAAGGAAGGTAGTGGTAGGAAGGAAGGTAGTGGTAGGAAGGAAGGAAACAACGACACAATTCTGGTGCGCACGCAGAAACAAACCCGGCGGCACCAACAACTTGACAGATAAACCACATACGTGATGTCAGTGCACATCTAACTCGTGCAGAACTGTTAGCAGAGCAGATATGGCTGGTGCTTTCCGAAGTTGTGCTCGTGACGCGAAGTATTCAACAAGCACCATGTGGGTCCAAACAGACCTCATGGGTGCGGTGGCGTTGAAAGAGTATTGCAGTAGGTGGCTGGCTCATCTGTGACTGCTGTGGCTGCGCTAGTCGCAAAGAACAACGATTAGTTCGTGTGGATGCGGCTGTCATTTCAGCCATGTGCTGTAGAGTACTGAGTAGCAAATCAGCGCATACATAAGGCTCTCCTCGTCGAGCGCCGAGCGCAACAGAGCGCAAGTCATCGTGAACTTGAATTACTAGACGAATCAAACGGTATTGAGCTCATAATTTCTTATGTAAGCCACCCCTTCCCCCGGCTTCACATCATGTTTCTTCTTTGCAAGTTCACAACAGCGAACGTCTGATGGGCAGCAGACTGTGCTGATGTTTATGTGAGTGTATGCTGTGCCTCCGTATCCTTAACTCTACTAGTCCTTGCTAGCCAAACATCCCATTGAACACCGCGACGTTTAAGTTGCATTCGTAAAATGCAAATCGTCCAAAGCCCCAGTCCGACCTGCTGCTATAAGATGAGGAAACAGTGGAAGCACAGTCGCACCTGTCTGTCACGTTCCCTTTCTCACTGTGTCATGTATGTGCAAAGACCTGCAGTCCCATGGATGTTCTTATTGCTTCGGCTCTCGACAAGTCAGGATTTCAAACTCCATATTTGAGCCAGAGGCTTGGGGAATGAGAAACCTGATCTGCCGGCAGCCAGTGCAGTAAACAGGGTTTACTCAATAGGGTTTCGAACCGGAATCAGTCTCGGAACGGATGGTGGTGTAATACTCATGCTTCCAATGCTATCAGTGTAGACATCGTCCGCATGCAACAGAGGTCGTCACGGTAGCAAAGTAACCCGTGCTCGACAATGGACCACGGCGAGATGGGCTGCGACTACCTCGCGGAGCCCCCTTCATACTCACAGTTCTTCCAAAACTACTTACTACCCAACAAGCCCGTCCTCATCGGCCCCCGAGTAATATCCTCTTGGCCAGCTTACCACGCGTGGGCCTCCCACGCCGACCCAGACAACCCCCAGATCGACTGGGACTACCTCTCGGATGTCTACGGTGAACACGAGGTCATGGTCGCAGACTGCGCGACCCGGGAGTTCAGCGACCAGAAGCGCGAGACGATGCGCTTCCGCGACCTCGTCGCCCTGTGGAAGGCCGGGCACGGGGGTGCGCTCTATGCGAAGGACTGGCACCTCGCACGCGCCGTCGCCACCGCCGCGCCCCCTCCATCCCCATCCCCCGCCCCTTCCTCCCCCTCCCGCGGGCCCGCGCTGGGCTCCTTCTACGCGACGCCCGCGCTGTTCCGCGACGACTGGATGAACGCGTACTACAGCGCGTGCACGGCGGACGACTTCCGCTTCGTGTATGCGGGCGCGGCGCACACGTTCACGCCGCTGCACCGCGACGTGTACGCGTCGTACTCGTGGTCGACGAACGTCGCCGGGCGCAAGCGCTGGTGGCTCTTCCCGCCCGCGCAGACGCCGCTGCTCGGCGGGGAGGCGCGCGGCGACGTGGTGTTCGACGTGCGCGACGTGGACGCGCGCGCGTTCCCGCGGTTCGCGGAGGCGCGCCCGCTGGTGCTCGAGCAGAGGGCGGGGGAGACGATATTTGTGTGAGTGTCGCGGCGATGCGTTTCGTCGGGTGCGGGTGCTGACTGCGCGTGCTCTGCAGCCCGAGCGGGTGGTACCATCAAGTAGGTCGTCCCGCGTGCCGCCGCCGTTGACCCTGCTCGACATGCTGTGATACAGGTGGAGAACCTTACGGCGTGCATCTCGATCAACCACAACTGGTGCAACTCGGTGAACCTGCCCGCGCTCTACGAGTCCATGTGCGCGAAGGTGGAGGAGGTGGAGCGCGCGCTCGAGGACGTCCAGGAGCTGCTCGCGCAGAACGGGACGGACTGGCGGGGGGAGTGGACGCGCATCGTGCAGGACGTGGTGGAGAAGGATGCGGGCTGGAAGTGGGTGTTGCGTCCTGGCGCCGCGTCCGCGCTGACCGTATGCTGCAGCTGGGTGACGTTTTGGAAGATGGTCCTCCACGCGCTGCGCATAGCCTCCGGGTGCGAGGACGTCCAGGTACGCCGGCTGCGCTCGCTGTGGTTCGCGGCGTTCCTGCTGACCGGTAGCAGACCTCTTCGCTGTGGGAGCCCGCGTCCCCTGAGCTCACACCACCCTGGAGCTTCATCAAGGCGCGCGTCCGGCCGTGCTTCGACGATTTTATCCGCCGCGAGCAATGCGAGTTCGAGTTGGTGGAAGGACTGCGGGGCGTCGTGGATGCAGTCGGGGCGGCTCTGCAGATCAATGGCGCGAGAGAGCCCTACAGCCTGTAGGCACTGGGCCATCAACATCTGTCAGTGCGTTCTCTCCCGTCGTGAGGTCCCATATTGATATTAACTGTGACAGGCCGTTGTTAGCCCTCTTATATGCGGCACAGCCGGGAAGCGTGTACATCGGCTACCACCACAAACGACGACAGACGTGCGAAAGCTGTGTATAGGGAACGAGACCAACTGCTTCGGAAGCCTCCAGTCTTTTTTCTCTGATTGGTGACGCCAGGGGCTACAGTAGACCACGGACATCAATGTTTACAAGTCACCGTGTGAATGATGGTCGATCATGCGGTGCGCACTGATCTCTGCGGGAATTCCTCAACCTTGCAATCGTTGTTCCTTGCCTACGATCGTGCCAGATACCCGATCTACTGCAGGACCCCCGAATATAGGGGGGGAACCCTGATCCCAATTTCTCAAAAGTTGGTCGATTTGTACGGCAGAAATTCCCGATTTTCGGCCTGATATGTCCGGAAAAAATCAGGCTGCCGCCTGATTTAGGCCAAAATGTCCGGAATTTGTATCTTTTTGGACCAGGGTGTCGAAAATCGGCGATTTGTCCGGAAATGATGGATCAGGGTTCCCAGAAACACAATTTCGCCCCCAACTTCGATTCTGACATCGTAATGCAGACTGGACACTCATACTTGTGCTATGTAGCTTCGCGATATGAACTCTGTTCAAGCACCTTTGTCCCCTGGACCTGTGTGATTTTAGAGGTGGCCACTTTCTTTGTCTTCTTGCACGCAGCACCAAGCATTTTCACTGCCGTGATATGAGATAGGCAGCTTGGGGTGCTCAGAAAAAGTGGCATTGTCGAGTTTGAGAATGCGCTCGTCCGTAGTTATGTGATGTGAACTATATAGATGGCAAAAAAAATCAATCTGACGAAATGTGAGCAAACGAGAGGCACTTAGAATACCAGCCGCTGATGAGCCCACATTTTGATACTATAAGTAGACATGTACAGGGTGCAGAAATACTAACATTCAATATATTATCCTCGAGCACGACATGACACGACGTCGTGGGATCGTCCGCATGCATGTCACATGACGGCGGACGTGCAAACCTGGCCAAGCGCGGAGCAGGCTTGTCCGTCTTCGGATCAGGCTTCCGGCATTGGCCGGAGTATGTCCGGAAATCGTACCAGGGATGAGGGTTACGACAGACTGGTTTTGTCCGGGAAAAGATCAGGGATCAGGGTCCAAAATCGCCCAGATTTGTCCGGAATGGGATCATGGTTCCTCCCCAATATTCGGGGGTCCTTCTACTGCACACATCCTTGAGCTTGTAGTCGCACACATTGTGCAGTTCGATTGCATTAATTCCGCATCAGATTCAAGGTTGGCGTCGGGATTACATCAGCTGATATCCGAGCTCAGTCTCTCTGACCTCCGGTGATGCGAACCTGATTGGCCTAGCGATGAAGCAGTGCCCATCGCGCACGCCTGCCGGGCGATGCACCAGGGCGCCAGCCGTATATAAAGGCTCAGCGTCTGCTCGCGGTTCCCTGCCCCGTCTTGATCGACGACCAGGTACTCTACCTTTCCCTCGCCGTAATCTTGTAATTCTATAGGTGGCTGGCCCACTCTATACGACTTCCTTTTCGCGCTTTCCTCCGCTTTCGCTGCCCAGTCTCACGTCCTTCACGACCCGCCACGAGAATGCTGAACAGGACCGCCGGAACCCTCGGCCGCAGCGCCACGACGCCGCTCTCGCCCTCGCTCCTCAAGCTCGACCCCGAGCAGCGCGTGCGCCTCATCAGGTCCAGCCAGAAGGTCGGCCGTGTCCTCGGCACGACACCCGTCATCGACGTCGTCTCTCCGACGGCCGTCACATTCACCCCTCCACCGCTTACCACGCCCGGCACCGCCCGCACGCCTCTCGGGAACGTCAAGTCGCTGTTCGCACAGCACTCACCTGTGACCTTCGCCTCTGTCGCCTCGAAGGCCTCCGCCCGCGAAGAGACTCTCAACTCGCCTGTCGTCCAGTATAAGATCCACGTGGACAGCAAATCTACTACACGAATCGACTCCCCGAAGGCTGCTGCTGCGAGGCCCACAGCGAACGGGCTGCGTCGCAAGCATGTTCCTGCTGCCCTGCCCCTCCCTCAAGCACAGCGCACGGAAGCGTTGCCCCTGTCGCCCTTCCGCTACGGGATGTTGAGGTCAGAAATACCCGGTTCGACTCACTGACACAGCCTAACCAGTATTCTAGATCCGTACACAGCCCGGCTCTGTCTCCGCTGTCGCCCGTCTCGCCCATGTCCCCGATCACGGAGGCTAAAATCGAGCAGAGCAAGCGGGACAAGCTCGAAAGGCTCGAACAACTCGCCCAGTGCGCCAGCATCGGTGTCCCGCAGGAGGTTGTCTACCCGTCCTTTGGTCAGATGGAGGAGAAGGCAGAGCAGATCACCTCGTTCCTCGATTTGTACCGCATGCGTGCCCGGGACGACAGCAGCTTGTTCAAGGCGAGCGACAGCAAGACTAGCGCTGTGGATGAGCCCGCGCAAGGCCTGCTCGCGGAAAGCAAGGATGGTGCACGCAGCCGCAGGATTACCCGCGCGAGCACAGAATTCTCCTTGCAGAAACGGCGCAGCCGCTCCGTCGGCGACTTCCACAGCTTCGGCGAGGCCCTCGCGCTACAGAGTCCGCGTTTCGCCCTGCAAAGCCCGCGCTTTGCAGTGCAGCAGGACCGGCACCTCACCACCACGCCGCGCTCACCCGCATACGCCGCTGCCCCGCCGCCCACTGCGCTCAGTGCGACCTCCGCTCTCGTCTCCCCGTCCATCTACTCGCAGATCTCCGCAGAGGAGGGCGACGTCCCCGTGCTCATCCCCTCGCCGCCGACGAGCCCCGGCCTCAGACGGAAGCGCTCGCTCGCGCGCGCCAAGGCGAGCATCATCGGCGCCGACGCGCTGCTCATGGCGCGATTCCGCACGGGGTTCGGCACGCGCCCGCTCGACTTCGCGGTCCCGTCGCTCCCCGCGCCCACCGGCCCGCTGCCCTCGCCGCCTGTCTCGCCCGCGATCGCAGACGTCAGGTCGCCCCGCGCGCCATACTGGGTGCGCAGGTCGTTCCGCCCGCGCGACTCGCTCCAGGCACTGCACCTCATCGAGCCTCCTGCGGCGCCCGTGCGCCCGAAGCGCAGCTCGCGCGGGGACGGGCGGGCCACGCCGCGCACGCTCCGGTTCGAGCGAAGGATGGGATGGGGTGGGCAGTGGAATCAGGGATCGTTGGCTGGTGCCATTGACACGCTCAAAGACCTGCAGTAGTGGGATGGGAAACTGGGTGAGGTTCGCATGTTGAGGGCACGCTAGCGTGTTCGGGCAGGAATCTCAGTCGAAAGCTATCATCCATGTATTTTTCATACCGTCCTTCAGTATGAATCGACATGGTTTGCGCGATATCATGCAATTCGGTACTCAAGCATGACCTTGTTCATCCGCGAACATACTTCATAATCAGCGTATATATGCGCCGTGTGCGAAGAGTTCAACTGAACACCACAAAGGATGCCTATCACAGATCTTGCCGGAGTACAGTCACGGCAGTATGAAGGCACGTATGTGATAGCGTGATAGCATCGGCATGCATACAACATGGCATAAGTACGGTAGTACTACAGGGATGCATAGGAAGGACGATAAAGCGCCGTTTTGTAGGTCCACCATGAACTCTCTTAGAGCTTGGCAGCATTGGCAGCAGACAGGGTCTGGCCAGCAGCCTTCGCACGCTTGCGGAGCATCTGGGCCGACTTGTTGCCACGAATACCTCCACCCCACTGGCGGCGCTGCTCCTCGTACTTGTCGGTGCTGTAGATTCAAGTAAGTAAACAGTATATGGTAACCCAAGTGTTCAACATACAAGTTTGCCTTGGCGGCGCTGATGAGGGTAGCGAGCTCACGCTGGTCCTCGCTCTTCACCTCCTGGAGAGTGAGAACAGCAGCGGTCTTCTTGTGTACGACCGTACCGAGACGAGCCTTGCCCTTTACAATAACGTAGGGGACACCCATCTTACGGCACAAGGCCGGAAGGAAAACGACGAGCTCAATGGGGTCGACATCATGCGCGATAACGACGAGAGCCGCCTTCTTCGCCTCGATGAGTGCCACACAGTGGTTGAGACCGTACTTGACGAAAAGGGGCTTCTTGGTGTCCTTGGCGGCCTCCTCTCCCTTGGCAGCCTCCTCGGCTGTAGCCTCAAGACGAGCCTTCTTTTCCTGCTTCGTCTCAGGGCGGTACCTGACGCAAGGGTGGTTAGTACAAGGTCAAAGAAATGAACGACCTAGCACATACTTGTTCAACAGCTTGAACAGCTGCGTCGCAGTGTTCTTGTCCAGAGTGTGCGTGAACTGCGCAATGGCAGGGGGGACCTTGAGGCGCTGGTTCAAGATGACCTTCTGGCGCTGCAGGCGGACATACTCAGGCCACTTCACGAAGCGGGTGAGGTCGGTCTTCGGCTGGATGTCCTGGCCTACAATGCAGGTGAGGAAAGAAGATACTCGAGGACTGGTGGAGTACGTACCGATACCGAAGTTCTTGGGACGAGCCTCGAACAAGGGGTTCTTCTGGGTTTTGGTGCCCTTGCTGGCCCCGAAAGGGGCGGGGGCAGGCTTCTTAGAGGATCCCTTGGTGGCCTTGGGCTGGTCATTGAGACGAGTCACATCAGCAACCTGCGTGCCTGCAAAACAGGACGTGGTGCGATGCGCCCGGAGCTCTAACGCTCGTACTCATCGGAGTACGAGCCCAGCAATGTTTCAGGATTGGCTTCATTGCTCAATGAGCTCAGCCGTTATCCATTGCTGAGGGGGTAAAATCTGCAAGCTGTCGAGGCAAACGTTAGATGGTAATTGCATGCATCATCCAGATGAAACCCATACCATCCATGCGATGATTACACCTTCATGCAGATTTCCCACCCATAGAGAGCTCCATGCGCATCGCACAACGCCCACCGGACGCTGAATTGCTCACCATTGTCGTCGAGTGTCTTGAGGAGGCTCGTTTGGTGGATGGGTGATGGCAGAGAGAGTTGTGGAATCGATTCCGAGAGATTCAGACTCCGACTGAAATACCAACCTGACTTCGGTTGCCGCTCAGCCATATCTAGCGCTCGTGTGCTGACTGCCTCATTTTCAGCGCATTTTTGGCGGTGTGCAATTCATTTCGATCCGAGTGCGAACTCGAATAACACATCTATCTTCTGCGTATTACGAACGTGTGTGTTCTTGTGAAAAAGATACGTTGCATGAAGTTACGGTCTTCACTTATTCGTTCTCGTCGCTATCGTTGAGCCCCCTATGTCACTTCAGATTGACATTCACGCCGACTACGACTTCTGTGCCTTAGAGGTGGAGATCCTACGTGTTACAGGATGGCTCTGGGGCATTTCATGTTCTGTTTGCATGTGTAGTAAATAGAATACTGCAAGCAGCCGTTCGAGACACCATATGAGTACACGTGAACCCTACAGTCTCTAAGACGCTAGCAATAAAAGCAATTATATCACCGCTGGTGACCTGTGGTGTCGGGAAGAATACACCAATGTACTCGAAAACTCGCGGTACTGTTGTGCTCATAAGAGCCATGAGCGTGAATATCCACTAGTACGACAGCTGATGCAGGCGAGACAAATAACTCGCAAGCTCAGCCGTACACCAAAATATCATGACACAATTAATGCATCGAGTGATAGCGTGCTGAAGCCCAGTCATTCGTCCCCACCCAATCCTTGCAACTGCCACAACTCAGCGGCAGCCGCAACTTCAACTGAAGATGCTGGCCTTAAAGCCAAGTTGCTGGAGCCAAGAATAGGTGGGGATTAATGAGAGGGCTCTGATCAAGACTTTGCCCAAACACGAGTGCAATCCAGACAAAGAGCAACAATATAGCACTGACGCGAATGCTTTTATATCACTCCCCTAGCTGATGGTCCACGGCCGGAGCAAGTGGAATTGCGCAAAAGGACCCGATTATGTTTGGGCAGATGACGGAAAGCATCAGAATGTGGACAAGGAGCGCTCATCGAATCCCTACGGATCTAGTGTGTAACCAGATGCGATATGAACATGTCGCGAGTCTTGAGTGTCTCGAAGCGAGCGGATACCAGCTGCCATTACAGAAGGACTATCATGGGTTCACGGAGCGAGATAACGTGAGCATCGGCAAGATATCGAACAATACAATGGGCCCTGCGTGTCCGCATGCATATGCAGCACGAGAAGCGAGTTCGTATCCGTGTTCCGCCTTGTCGAGGGGAGCAGGCACACAAGACGCATGCGGATCCACTCACCTCTGAGTACGCGAGCAGTGAACGACCGTTCAGCTTACGCCTGGAAAGTCGTGATTTTGACGGGCCCCGTCATACTACTGACAATTGGTAGCATCGGATAATGCCTCTAGAAGGGGGATAACGTCAAATTGTAAGAGAAGGTGATAGCGCTAGCGTTGCAGATAAGACGGGCTACAATTTACGCACGTGCAGGTCAAGGCAGTGCACGGGCCCTGTGCTCTTGGTGCACCAAAACGAGATGGCAGAGATGCGAAAATGACCATGACCTCAGAGGGGGTCATGACCCTAACCCCGGACTGGGCATAGGAGCCTCCACAATGCTGACATTGGCGCAAGAGTGGGTTGTGGGGCCAAGGAGAGGGATGTATCCATCTAGCGTGCTATATATAAGGGTAGACCATTAAAAATTCAAAATACTTTCATTATACCTGTCAGCATGACAAGCAACACCGGAAACACAGGAGGGAACACAGGAGGAGGGAACACCGGGGGAGGAAATTCACTTGGCCAGACAATCAAGTAAGAGTCGAACAAACTCAGCTGCATGCAGCCACTCATGTCTTGCTCAGGGGAACCGCGGAGATAGTGCATGGTGAGCGGAATATTGTCTGGGATAGGCAATGGCCCGAGATGCTGAACATGCGAGCAGGTCTCAGCGAGAAGTTCCGCGGAAGCGTCCTTAACGCCGTTGACGGCGGAAACGCCAACGACACGCAAGACGTCGCCGCACGAGGCCACGTAGAGACCCAACAAGGCATCGCAAGGCTGCAGGGCGGCGGTGACGGCCAGGCCAACACGGCACCGGGCGTTGGCCCCGGCACAGGAGCTGCAGCAGGGGCCTACCCCGCAGGCCAGGCGGTCGGAGGCGGCAGCGCAGGCGTGGGTACGAGCACCGCAAACACGGGAAACTACGCTCCTAGCGGGGCCGCAGGCGCAGGGGGTGCGCCCGCAATGTCTGCCAGTGCAGGACGCGGGCCGGGCGCTGCGCTACCACAGGGGCACTACCAGGGCCGGCATCCGCTACAAGGTGGTGCTGTGGGCGGCGACCGCGGAGTGGGTACACAGGTCAACAGGAATGGCCAGGAGTCCCAGGAGAGATACGGCGGAGGGCAGGACCAGCGCCTGCCGCAGCAGGGCACCGCTGGTCCTCCGGCGATGACCACGAATTCTGGTCCAGGGGCGGGGGTATCCAGTGGCAGACCACGGGGCTGATTCTCTGTACATCCAAAGGCAGCGAGCACGAGGGGAAGCCAGTCACCAAACACGAGGACATGTTAAAGGATGTTACCTCCCGTGTATTCTAGCTTCGTTCTACACGTAATCTACTGGATTCTGAGCGAGCATCAGGTACAGAATACATTAAGTCTATGTACTCACGTCCGAAGAGTGTCTGGTTTATCTAAGACCTCAGATTCAACCCGATAACGCAACTAACACCACCCGATGATATAATGAGCGTACTCCACCTGGTCGGCGGCGCCGTTCCTCGATCGCACATCGCCATGCGCTTCGCAGACGATGACGTCTTTCGACATAACGGCCAAGGTAGGCAAGTCTCTATGTGATGACAGAGATGTGAGCGGTGGGAAGACTTCTTCGACGGTGCTGGACTCCAGAAGGTGCGTGGGGCGCAGTGGAATGACAAGATGAAATTTGGCGGGCGGGTGAGAGACTTCATCGCGTGAATGCGGCTTTTCTGGTCTGCGAAGCAGCTTCTCCACGCAGCCCTGTATCCAACGCGCGTGCTCAGGCTCGTAGATAATATCGGCACCCAGGATAAGATCAAATGGCTGGTCCAATGGCTGCGCATTTTGGCCTGTGGTGGAGCACTTTGACCAATCCAGTGCATGGACACTGACGTCGACGGACGAGGTCGTCGGAAAGTTGGCCGTGAAATTGTCGCGGAGATTGGACAGAACGGAGGGATGAAAGTCGGTCGCAACAAGAGAGCACGCCGTCCCCCGAGCCTGCAGTAGTTTTGCCAACGTCAACCCGGCCAGCCCGGTGCCCGCGCCCAACTCTAACGCCCTAAGTCCGTCTCCATACTCGTCCAGATTGAACAAATGCTGGTCTTCCACGAGCATGTCCGCAAGCAGGCATGCGCTCCCCCACGTCTGCGCGCCTACGCTGCTGTAGTCCTGGTTCTCGAGCGGCACGTCCGTCAGCTGTACTTCGATTGGAAGTTGGCCGTCGTGGAAGCGGAATACCCGAGTCACGGTGCCTGCAGACGCGGAGCCTGCACAGATGGCCAATAGAGAAGCCGCGTCTTGTATGAGTGCTTCTCGCTGCACCGTGTCTGTGGAGTCTTCCCCAGCAGAATCTAGTAGGCGATACGACTGCGCAACCAATGCGGTCAACCATCGAATGGCGTAGGATCGTTCGAATGAATCTGATCGAAGAGTGTCAAGATTACGATCTGTTTCTGGCGTATCTGCGGCCCCTTCGTGCAACGTCGCTACTGCCTTCAGAGACGGCTTGCGCCCAATGCGGCGTATTCCTCGAACTTCCTGGTTGTATATTTGTCGTAGATAACGAAGAGAACGGCTTAAGTCCTCTGGTGGATACTGATGAATCCGACTAATGGGCGGGAGCTGAGATGTAGGAGCAGTAGCGGTTATTGTCATTCAGCCGAAGTTGCACTGTACTCTGCTTGAGGATATGTAGACCGGTAGTTATTGAAAATAAATGGCCAGCTTTATATCAAAATCTCTAATGCGTTGTCTGTTTCTTTTCTGTCAGCCCGATAATCATCTGAAGATGCAGAACTTACACTAGCCGTGATATCTATGTCCTCTTGGTACTTGCATATCAGACTCCTAGCACAGGTCAGCCTCAACTGCAATCACTCACCAGTAATGTCTATGGTTGATATCTTCTACTTATGTCTATAACGTCTCTCGGCGAAAGTTGTCTCTCGTTCGGGTTCGCACCATCCATGAGCGCCCAATAGCGCTGGGTGACTGTTACCGTGACTTGCCGTGACTCGCAGGTGGCTGAGACCCATGACATCATGGCAGAACTCCGTCATCGCGGTGGCGTTGGTGGATTGCAGGCTCAACAGATATATAAGAGACGCAGGCGCACAACAGTCGCATACAACGCTTGACATACAACATACACCTCTTCTACAAAACACCATTTCAATAGCACCATGTCAGGAACAGGTAACACAGGCAACAATAATACGGGCAACGAGCTCGGCCGCACCTGGGGCGACAAGTTGAAGTGAGTCTTACTTTCGTGCCGCTCAGTCGCACAGTGTCTGACCGCAAGCTACAAAGAGGGGCCTGGAACACTATTGAGGGTATGGAGACGACTCCTACAGGCGTTGACACGACGCACTCACCAGAAGTATTCTAAACAGGCGCGGGTGATTCCCTGCGAGGTGGTATGATGGACTTCGCCGACTCTGCCACGGGCACTGGTGGCCACCACACAGAAACCGACGTCGGTGCTCAGAAGACCCAGACCGGCATCGCTGAGATGAAGGGAAGTGGGACCGCGGGCACCGCACCCCAGACTGCTGGAGCCCGGGGAACAGCAACCACGACGGGCTCAGCTCCTCCTTTGCCGGCGCGTGGAGGTGCCGGAATTCACTCGAACAACGCGGCAACCACCGCTGGGAGCACCACAGGACCAGTTCCGTGAACGAGGCTGTGTAAAACCATCTGGTGAGCAGAATTGTGGAAGGGCGCATCAGGGTGTAAGTGCTGATTATTGCACACGCAGAAGCACTACAATATCATACCCGCTCCACGCTGGCATTTGCCATAATCACTGTAATCATATGTATACCGTACCTAAATCATGAATGCCGTGATAACTATGTTCAGGCTACCAGCCGCTGCGTGTGGGGAAACCACCGCTAGTTTGATGAATACCGTTGAGCTGAGACTAGTCGAGACGACAGACTTGTTGCCAGAATTACAAGAATACAAGTCTGTTCCCAGTAATTGGATGCACTAGAGAAGAATTTGAATGGTGATAAGGATAGGAATACTCGAGTCTCGAGAATTAAGGCACGGGCATACCGGGACGAAGCTGAGTGCATGCAGAAAGTGTAACCCACTGTTAGCATAACCACATCTATTACGCTGCCATACAAGATCAATGGCTTAGCTCACGTTGCGGATGAACGCGGTCATCGCCTCGCCGCGTCGGAGACGCTCAGCAGACTCGCCACAACGCCCGCGCTCTCCTGCACCCGCTTCGACCGCTCGTAAAGCGCCTGCACTGCCACAGTCGTCTCAGCGATGAGTTGGTCCTCCGTTGGCGGCTGCGCGAGGTCTGGTGGGTGCAGCGGGAGCGCGCCAACGCCTGTCTGCCGCAGGAGCTCCGCGAGCATCTGCATCGCCTGCTGCAGCGCGGTCATGTCCGCTGCGGCGCGCGCACGCATACCTCAGCGATCTGTGTGCATCAGAGAAGCGTGTGGACGTACCTGTCGTTTGGAACGGGTTGGTGCCAGGATGGTATGCATTCTCGCTGCAAGGCGTTCAAGCTGTGCCTCCACAGACGTAACCTCTGAGCTGCTCACATTCCTGCTAAGGCACTCCTAGCGAGGTCCTGAACTCTCGCGGCCTGTCCTAGCGCAAGCTGGATGGCCTGCTTGAAAGCTTCCGGGGAGTTCGCATCGACGCTCGATGGCGTCTGCAGCGAAGACTGGGAAGAAAACGATTGCGAACCGATCAAGCCTCCAGGCACATCAGAAAACGCGAGGTTCGATAAACTTTGAGATGAAGTGTATAATGAGTTCTGCTGACTGCCGGGGAATGGGGAAGAGGGCAACATGGCAAAAGTGAAAGTGTGGCCAACGCCGGGATCGAACCGACGACCTTAGCGTTCCCAAGAGCAGGTATTAGCACTACGCTCTAACCAACTGAGCTAGTCGGCCCATAAATAGGCGCACGTGAGAATAAACATATGTCACCAGTGTGACAATTGTGACATTTATGTGCAACCCGCCAAAGTAGGCAATGTATGACGATAGGCGCCCTATCGCGCTTTGCCCTCAAAATCAAAGAAATCTTTTCCGAAGATTGATGAGAGGTATAATTCTGAAGACTTTGTATGAAGCACTTTTGGCATTTTCGACTTCATGAAGGAGGATGCTCACATTGCTTCACCCAGCTATCCGTGACAAACCTTCCTAAGTGTAGAATATGTAGAATATCCCCACAGGCTGTAGCAATAACAATAACGAGATCTCCTGCGATGAAGTATAGTCTGCGGTGAAGGTGAAGCAGGACGTCTTGCATCTCGACGTTCTTCTTCGGTCTTCAATGAGATATGGAGAAATAAATGTTTGATTCTCCGCCTCAGCCTGTGCATATGTTCCTCCAGACGGGTTGGGATTGCCGTCCGAGTCGAAGGATTTATGTGGTCCAACGTCCGACTTGCATGCAGGCTATTGTCCCGGCGATCGTGAAGTGGATGGATACTATTGGTTCGACCTAGGTTGTATATGCTACAGATCGTCAAACAGCTCATGCATATAGTTATGCAATAGCAGCTAATTTCGTGAATTTATCCGCTATTGTTGATGAAGCGTCAAGAGAGCAACACGTTCCTCTTTCACCGCAAAAAGTAGGAGAAAACGATGACCGTCCATTCTGCGCCGGAGTACTGAGTCTCGTATTTGGTTGGCATAGGGGCCTTGCTGAGATGGAAAGGTCGCTGCTAGAGTCTTCCATGCGTCCTCGTCTGTGATCCAGTTCATGCTCTTGATCATGTCGTCAAAGACTGCAGGGGGTACATCGACCGCAAGCGTGGGCATACCGGCAATGGCGGCGTTCTTAATTTGGACCGCTGCATCGAAAGCTAGGACAATCATTAATTATTTCAGGGATTCAGCTGTGTGCGATCTGAGGCTTACCTCTGTCCGTGAACATCTGCTTAGTATACTTTCGTTGCTTCTTGATGTCACTGGGCACGACGAGCTGGACGTCAGCGGAACTAGTGGTCTCTTTGGCGCTGTTCAACCCGGGAGAACTCTCGCTGCCGATAGAAGGTACACCAGAAATGGAGGCATCAACACGCTTCTGTTCTAGAAGTTGCTGTTGCAGGAATGGCACAAGCTCGTGTCTTGCAACTGTTTTTATGGATGAGTGTCTTGCACCTCAAAATGCTCCGTGAACCTCACCTTCAGACTCCGTGCCCCTCAGTACGCTCTTCACTTTGAAAGCAGGCTGATCTCGCCGTATTGATCGCGGTCGAGGATAGACTATGAACCTGCGCTGTAGTAATTAGGAATGTACACATAACTGCCAGCCTCTGGGGACTCACAATATGCCTTCGCGGTAGCATACATCGATATGACTTTCATTCTCCATGTCTGGCAAGCTCGTTTCATACATCACATCGGCGCTAATGTTGTGTTGCCAGAGGAGCGATGCGACTTCTAAGCGCTCGGCCAGAAAGCCGGCCTGATACGATACTACATAAACGTCACACCGACGAGGACTCCAGTATCCGAAGGAACGTTGTTCTTTCAGCAATGTATTCACAGACGCGTTTTGGAAAGCCGCAAGGACAAAAGTGATCTTGTCCAGAGCAATCTGCACGCCAACAGCGCATATTGCATCTGCCTTGGGCTTTGGCGGCGTCAAGCGAGTGATAACATTGTCATACCTGTGAGAGGCGAGCTTGAGTTCGCTCCACAGGAGTGAAGAGGTATGTGCTCACCGGCCGCCTGCAGCCAGAATATCCGAGTGCTTCGTGCGCCGCACCACCTCAAAACAGACTCCATCTTTGAAGTATGGGTTACGATTGCTCATCATGAGCGGGTTGAATAAGATGGGTCGCGATACTCCAGCCGCATTGGCGAAACGTATCGTGTTTTGAATCTCCTGGACGTAGGGAGTCAGCAATTGTACCAGAGTAGGCGCAATCTTCTCGAGTCTACCCAACAGGGCGTCCATGTTCTCGTCTGCCAGACACTTAGCAGTGCATCGAAGCTCCTTGATAGCGTACGTACCCGTCTCTGACAGTATTTCGAGTTCATCCACAATGTGCCTCGGGATCCCTTTACGAAGCAACATGGAGCGCTTTTGTGATTGCGAAGACTTGGTCTGATTCAGAATCTCGGTCACCGAGGTCCGATGTCCAGGAGAGATTCGATCTAATGTGAGCTCGAGAACTAGGGGGAGATAGCGTGAGTAGTGGATAGATCATAGATAGAACGCTGACTTACTCATTGAATGTGAGATATGGATCTCGTACAGTTGCCCCAGATTTGCAAAGTTATTGAGGCAGTCGCTGATTATGGCAATGGCTTCTGCAGCCGCCGCACTCGGCCCCGTCACCACATCAGGAGAGATGATGTCGAAGACGGCGGCTTTCGCAACTCGTGGATGCCCTGCAGTGACGCTAGTGCAAATGAACAACGATGACATTCACCGGTTGTGAATATATCTTACTTTGGACGGTAGATGTCCCCAACATGATATCGCTTGATTCTCCTGGTGTTCTCCCGTGCCGCTAGGCGCGCAAATGGCAATAGAGCATTATTAGGCAACGATACGACCTCTCCGTGCCGATCAAGGAATACAGCGCGATTTCGGTCCTCTTCTGGATTCACAACAGGCATCAAGAGTGGTGGCTCCATGCTGACAGCCCCATGCAGTCGGAAAATGTCGACCAGACAATCGATCACCTTGCCATTGAGTGTGGCATGCTCCGGCAGTTCTGCTTGAGCATCGTATAGGAATCCTCGAACCGGTTTCGCAGGCTGGTTGAACAGGGACGAGAGGATAGATTGCAAATGAGGTGAGTTCGGTTTCGCTAGGGTCAGAGTGTGAGACCACGACTCCCATGATAAAAAAACTGACACCAACTCATCATCTTGAGCGCGCCTTTGAAGTAATCATCTTCAAGACGTGGCGGTAGAAGGGAGCTCTGTGACAGTTCCAGTGCAGTCGGGCGGTCATTCGGGTTGTGTTGGAGGAGCCAGGTGATGACTGCATTACGAGTCAGTTATAGCGTATGCGGCGTTGATTAACGTCTTTACTTTGTCGTTGTCTGGCGCGCTGCAGCTCCCAGGTAGGCGGAAATAGAATACTAGGCTTTCTCAAGTCTTCCAGGACCACAATTCGTTCCGCCCCTGTAGGGAACATGTAGTTCATCTCGAAAAACACGACCTTTTGTTCCCAATATTTGTTAGTACATCACAGGTCACGTATCATGGAACGAAGGAGTCAACTCACGCCCAAACTGTACATATCCGCCTTGGTGTGGTTCCTCGGGCCTCCTTTAGACGACTGCACCTCTGGCGCGATATACAGTCTGGTGCCGACGTCTACGACGAGTATCAACAGGATGATGGAAAAAGAATACAGCCAGACGTACCAAGCGTCATGTCTGCATCGTTCGTAGGTGCTGCAGATACATCTGAAGGATCGACCGCAGCAAGACTAGAGGTTGCCAAACCGAAATCGCCAACTACTCTCATGAGGTAACGACCCATTCTTATACTACTGCGACATACCTTTGCAATCACCCTTGCCGTCTACCACAATTCAGTGATTTCCGTACGAGAAAATCGAGGTTGCTCACCAATGAAGATATTTGTCAACTTGATGTCGCGGTGCAGCTATAATTGTCCATTAGTCAGCTCAAATTGTGGGGTAGCACCGACTTACAATGCCTAGGCTTGACATGTGGACAAGTGCATCGACGATTTGCTGAAAAAGGCGCCATGCTTCTTCTTCCGTGATCCCCTCGTCGATACGCTAGGAGAGAATGAAAAGCAGAACGAGCGCGCTACATGATTGCGCTCACCTCCTTCAGGGTCTGGCGCTCGACGAACTCCTAAAATGTGGATTTCACTATGAGATATGACCGCAGTGGTCATGGCCACTCACCATCTGGATATATAGCGTTCTGGAAATGGTCACCGGCGGCGGCATTGTAGCGCGTGAGCGACTGTTTGAACCAAACAGGTTGTCAAACGCTCCTTCGCTGTCCGAGCTACTGCCCGATGCCCCATCACTGGCCCCATCGAGGGTCGCGGAACGCGAGCGTGTGAAATGGATACTCGGAAACGAGTGTCTACTTCCAGAGCCCAGATCGTCCAGGTCGATACTGAAGGGATCGCCAGAGCCACCATCTCTTGAAGTGGATTGCGAGTGGGGAACGGAGGTCATGCCGTCGGCAGTCTCTGAGTCGCGGTCGGAATCGGACGTTACCGCAGTAGAGGGGGGTTCTGCAGTCTCGACCCACGTGGTGTAATATCGAACAATGTAGCGATGGTTGAGGCGGCTTAAGGCATTGACCTCTCGGAAGATCTTGTTGTCGCTCTGTGTAGCCCGCAGCCGGACCTTCTTGACTGGAACGGAGATGAGGAGACTAAACGTAAAGCGGACGCAAACCTACCTGCATAGATCCTGTTGTCAATCTTATTTCGCGCCTTCACAACAGAGCCAAAAGCTCCGCGACCCTAAGAAATAGATGAAGTCAAACTATAGAGTTGTAGAGGACAAACACCTACCAAAAGCTCGAGCTCCTCCCAGTCCTCCTTCCACCTGCTTGCATGTCGAGCTCTTGGTGGCGGCATCCTGAAGTAATCAGTCTCCGGAGAACCATTGAAAGGCTGATACGTAGCCGTCTTCGGCACTGGTGTGCGCACGGAAGCTGAGCCTACTGAACGTCAATATCGTGGGGTTCATGCAGCGCCTACCACCGCACCTGGAATAGGCATTGCAGGGGTGTGACGATTGACTATGTCCAATGAGTGACCCTGTATGTCGGCGAGGAGGCCAAGACATGACACAGGATGCTTCTTGTTCTGAACGAGCATACACATCGCGCGCTGTTGCAGAGAGGGTGATATAGTCGCTGTGCAGGTTTTGTCACAGGTCTTCCTCGATGCATGAGATACGACTACGCACAGTTTCGCAACGCAATGTGGACATCTGGGAAGCGCTCCGTGACATCCCGGCCCATCAGCATTTGCAGTAGAACAATACCAGCGGCATGAATGTCGCGACTGCGCGTGTACACCAGGGGTGACTCCACCGTGTCATGTAGCAGCCATCCTTCGGGGATATGCACCTCGTCGATTTTCGGGTCCATGTTGAAACCAAAGGGATCAGACCGATGCAAGTCCAACAGGCGGACGTGGTAGCCAGCCTTGAAGACCTTGACAATCTTGGATGGGCCGCCCTCTTCGCGTGGCGCGAGACCAATGCACTTGGTAGACAAGCCTGTGGACATGAGGGTGAGAGCTTCGTTCAAAAACATATGTGACAGACCCCTGTGGACGATGTCATTGGCATGCGCTGCGTGCAATGCCGAAATGATCTGCAAGAGGTAGTCCTGTACAATATTTGTCACGCACGAACGGAAAAACAGCGTTGATGCATGACTTACAGACGCACGGTCCTCACGCAACCAATCACAGTCTTCGAGTACGTCTTCGAGCGTTACCGTAGGGCGCTTCTCAGACAGGATGACTAGGCGCAGAGAACCGTTGGAGCTCGGGGTGGTCAGCTTTACAGCTAATACTGCAAGGAGGCTCTGATGGCGGATACTGGCGAGACGTTGAATCTCGGTCTCGACGGTCTGCAATTTTTTCCGTCCTAAATCAGTTTGTGAATGAGTAATCGAACGTCGCTTCATAGTATGTAATACCTTGGGTGGTCGTGTAATACTGAGCATGGAACGTGATGGAGAGCAGCTCGAGTGGGAGCGCCTTGCTCGCATCTTCGCACATGGGCTCGGCTTGGTACATCGTACCCAGACATTCTGTAAGGGAGTCAATTCACAAATCCTTCTATAACGGACTATCACAGACCTTGTCTTGGCTGGAATAGCTTGACCCGGCTGAAGCTCACGCCTTGCCATTCGATGACCTTACCGAAAGATTCAGTCAAAGTGATGTCTTCGGAGTTTGGTATCTCCGTTGCATCAGACGCTGCCCGCTGGCGTGCTTGTTGGGACCGTTCTCTCTCCAACTGCTGCTTGTAGGCATCCGCTCGCATCTCCTCTGCTCGCATTTCCTCCTCGAATTCCTGCGCACGCTGAGCCGCACGCTCTTGTTCAAGCTCAGCCTCTTCCTCTTCACGTTGTTTCTTTGCCTAGTACTAATCAGCTATCCGTAACATATCCCACGCATGAGAGTATTTGCAGCCAACTAGAGTCGCATAGTACGCAGGTTTATAAACCGCAGATATACTCAGCAGGTTATGTCGATCGCATCAGGCGGGTCGAAATGATATGGAACGTTCAGGAGACACAACTTCTCAGCACTCGCTCTGCACTGGGTGTTGGCAGCTGGGAGGAGCTACGCGATCGAGATATCCGTCCCTTCTTCAACACAAAAGCGCTTACACGGCACGTGCGTGAGCGTAAGACGGTAACATGACTGAGCTTGCTCCGTTGAACCACAAGGTCTAGGTCGCTGCAGATACACTCAAAGAACAGGCAAGACGTACTAGAGCTTCTGCAGATGCGCGCATGCGCATTTGTGATGCTAAGGACCCAACGACCTTGACGCCGGGTTTGACAGTGGCAGCGAGCCATTCTTGTGCAAAGGTGACGATCTGGAAGACCATCTCCGCGCCCTTGATGCGCTGCGCCTCAGCCTGAATGGCATTCGAGAGTTGCGCGATGATGGTGGGATGGATACCCATAATATGTGGCTGTGTGGTGAATATAGGGCATGCTATCGCAGGGTACGTCTTCGGAAATCTGAGAGATGCAATGTCTCCATCCGCACTCTAACGCATAGGAGGCAAAGCGTGCTTACTTCGTGTGTAGATGAAAATATACCGTGTTGGCATACTCGGGATGGGATACCTTGATGATAAATTCTGGTAGTCTGGGGGCTCCCTAGACGGAAGGTAGAAGTTAGCATAGTCAACGCGCTAGCTGGGCGCGATATTGGTAAAACCTGCCGACGTTCAAGCCGAATCGGAATGTAATGTGAGGCGTACTAGTATAAGTATCGCAGGAGCTCACAAGTACATGAATGATGTGTCCATCGGCGAGGGACCATTATTGCACGCACAGTACCCATGTCGCCCCGACCAGTGAAAAGGCAAACATACCTTCCAAACCTTTGGAGGGGGGCATTCAATGAAATCATTGTCGTATATACTCTGTACTGCAGTATTAGCTGAGGAAGCCACGTCATCAAGTATCATACTCACCTTGAGCGCGGTGATCTCCAACTGTTGGCGTTCCTCTTGAGATTCCATGATGAGGTGAAAACCAACAAGCAGTCGACTTGTTGCTTGAGGAGGGGAGGGCCTTGCGGACCTCGGCAGCTCAGGCCTGCATCGCTCTTTACTCCGTTGTGAATGCGATGATGGGGCAACAGAAACAAGGCAACAAAAGGACTCTCAACCGGGAGTCAAGAAGAGTCATGCACGCGCCGGACGCATTGTAGATCTCAGATCCACCCTGTCGGCTAGAACCACGTTTGTTCGTCTGCCAAAAATGGACATCACGAGGATGACCGCGTGCGTATAGATTTACACCATTTACCAAATGCAAATGAATTCGCAGTGTAACTGAGTAACTGCCTTCCGATAAGAACTGTATGAAATAAAATGAAATAGTGCCAAAGGGCTCGATAAGGTCTTCCTTCATAGACGGAAGGAAGCTGGCGAAGCGCCACTGCGAAGGGAGCAGCAACCTATGCGGTATCAGTGCTGATTGCTTTCAACTGTTTGCGAAATACACGGTATCGATCAGCTAAGCGTAGCTATGTCGCGCTCGCTACTGTATGAAATGCCCCTGACGTTGCTATAGCCTGACTTTCTGAGGGGGGTCTCGTTCTCTAGAAAGACTTTAACATCAACGAAATTTAACAGGTGTACTCATACAGAGATCGCGAACATGAGGATGACATGTATAGTAATGGTAACCAGCCTCAGCGCGATTCGAAGTAAATGTGGTGATATATACGAAAATTGATTTCTGATAGCAAGGTTGACTATACATGGCATCGTGCTTTCCCGATTCATCTCGCTGTACGACGCTTGCCTCCTCCCCTCATCGATCGATACATACGTCATTCGCTCAACTTTGTCGAATGCATACGTCAGTCCTGCCACACTGTGATCGAGCACATATAAGAGCTCTTGTGTCTCCCAACGCTACTGCCCTGCCCCTTTCCTCTTCCCTTCATCTTCGGTCAGTATATTGTCACCATACGCATTGCATATTCAACGAGGGGAATTCACATGATCACGAAGTATCTCCGAGATGAAAAGTGGAACACCCGCAATGTGACACCCCATTAGGCGATCCAGCTATGGATATAGCATAGCAAGATGCATACAGCGGGAATGAATTTCTCCTGATTAACAAGGAAGATCAAGTACAGCATTTCCGTCGCATTATACACCTGCTCATCTCACGGTTTTTGAATCGCGTCCAGGAACCAAGCTATTATACGTTCGAGCCTTGCTATCTTCGTAGTCGACGCGGTCACGAGACGGACGCGTCGCGTCGTAAACACGTTGTGATCGAAGTTCAACTTAACCGCGCCCACAGGACCAAACAGATGGTGTTTACCCATGTTCAAGTTGCCTTTGGCGTACCTTCGCTTCTCCTGCCCTCGTCGACGCATCCGACAGCCTGCGCATACAGAACTTCTTTTGTTCTCGTATCCCCTGGTCGTTGCTCGGGTGAGGTGGAGGAGTCTGCTGGTAAAGTGACACTTGTAGAAGCGCAAGGTACGTGTCGTATGTATGATCTCGGCTAAGTGTGTGCGCTCATTCACCAACCTTCTGTAGCGGTAAGTAGCCACCCCGAGCGAAGAAAGAACAACAGCAACAGCAATTAACGAGTCCACGAACAAGTCTCGCATTAACGATACGGTTCAGGCCCAAAGAAGACTCACGAAAACGTCCTCACGCTCACGATCCATTATCTGTCTCATAGTTGATCCACGACCACAACGCGGCCAATCACGCATTGCTTTTCTTTTATTCCATTCATCATTCATCTATCTGTCTTAGTAACGACGTTTAACGCTCTTGTACTCTTGTCAAGACCTCTCACGAAGATTCGTTCAATTTAACAAGATGCGCAACACAATGCCTCTCTTGTCTCGTGCGCAGGCTCCTTCTTCGTCTTCTGTATCATGTTCCACGTCTGTACCTGCTGCTGACACTCCACCGCAACACGTACCCACGATCCGTCTCATCTCTGCAACACCATCCGCAACGGGCTCGGCGGCTGACGCAAGTACATCCCTCAGCGCCATTGCGCCGTTTGCTTCCTCGCCGCTCGCCCCACGGGTAGACTCACCAGCCTCACGGAAACGCTTGATCCCGAAGAAATCAAAGCTTGGGCTTCTCACGGGCGGAGGCAAAAACAAGGAGAAGTCTACCAAGGATTTCTCGGACGTCGTACGCCGCGTTGGCAGTAATACAGCTTCCACAGGTGGAGGCGGTTTTGAGATCTACGTCGATCATGCGGACGACCCCGACCTTGGAGAAATCGTCGTAGTCAAGAAGAAGAAATCACGACTGGGCCTCGACGGTATGAAATGGGGTGCCCTAGGCGAGGTGACCAATGTCCCATCGGCACCAAAGGAGCGGAAGAACACGGCTGTGGAGCATTTGCTCAAAGTGAAGGGCGATGACAGCCAGAAATGGTGGAGCATCGGACGCGGTCGCAAAGACTCGAAGGGCAAGGACAAGGAAAACGAGAAAGCCCCCACCCGTTCGAAGAGTAGGTACATATCGCATTTTGAGTCAAACATGGTACTGAAGACAAATGGGTACAGCTCCCGAGCCCGTGAAGTCTCTTGACACTCGCGCCCGCTTCAACTCCCTAGACTCAGGAATCATGCTCTCGAGTACTACGCCGCACGAAGTGCGTCAGGGCACAACTTCGCTCACCCAGGCCGCTCAGCCCGTGACATTGTCGCCGGCAAGAGCTATTCCTTCCATGGAGCCCGTTCCCAAAGGCGCGAACGGCTTGCTCGCACCTGAACCTAACCCTGCCACTGGCTCCATCGCTGTGCGCGCCATCAAATCTATGCGATCATTGGCGCGCATGGCCAGCTGGGCTCAACTATCGAACAGTGGCGATAAGGAGAACGAAGAGTCTGGGCAGACCGGTACTCTCACTGGTACGATGAAAGCCAAAGAGAAAGAGAAAAAGGAGAAGGGCGCAGAAAAGAAAAAGAAGAAAAAGGAGAAGCGAAATGACAAGGAGAAAGAAAAGGAGAAGGAGACGAAGGAGCGGACTGTGCGTTGGTCGGGTAGCAGCTTCGAAGCCGGCGCACCGAGTGCGCAAGGAAGCCCCCCACCGCCCGTCGAGAAGGATGCTTACACGAAGACTCTCGGAAGAAAGAAACAGAGTATACTTGGGCTCGGTCTGCCGTCTACAATGAAGGGCTTGGCCACGATACGCAACACATCTTCATCCTCTTCGTCCGTCGGCCAACCGCAAGCGCCGAACCGTCTCTGGATAGACTCAGCCCATCTCATTATGAACGCAAACGGCCGTCCTACATCCATCGTATCCAACGGGTCTTCCCTTCGTCCTGTCTCGACTGCTTCGGGCGGCTCGATGTTCTCCGAGCGCTCAAAGCGCTCATCGTCGAGCTCGGTCGCATCTGTGCGCTGGGACGAAGAGGGCCTGCGTTCGTCAAAAGAAAGACAACGGAAGGAGCGCCGCACACGCGAGAAGGACAGCAAGAGCGGTCGCACATCGCGCGACAGCCGCAGGTCCTCTGAGGGAAGGCGTCGGGCTGCAATTGTGGATATCTTCCCCGAGGCGCAAGCGCAGATATCACGTCCTACATCCATGACGAGCGCAGGATCAGTCTTCGACAAACCGATCGTGCGGGTAGAGGAGGCTACGGCAGACGGCCACTCGGACCATGCTGAGGATCCCGTCGCCGAGACGCCTGTCAAACGTAGCCGCCCTCGGCCAGTGTCTGAGCAAATGCTCGGCAAGGTCAGACCTCAACCTATGTCGGACGAAGGGGAGGGTGTGTATATATCATACCATTTTCTTCCGTTGTTGACACTCATGCTGTTGTTTAAGAATCAGGTGTGCTCTCAATCCTGGACGCCGCGACTAACGACCTCGCGTCGCTCATCAATAGACTGGATCTAGAGGCGACCCCCTGCAGCACGAATGGATCACCTCTAAGGCTTTCTCCTTCTCAACGAAATGGTGACGACAGTCCCATCAAGAGGCGGTTTGTGCAGCGGGATAGCCCTCTGAAGACAGAATTGAGAGAATGTACTGCCTCAATGCAGTCTCTCCGGCCATACGCTCAAGCACAGAATGCTGCGACCGTCGCACTTCAGCAGCCATTCGATCCGCGGCAATACATAGGAAAGCAGATAGCGCCTTGGTCGGAGCTGAACTGGCAGGTATCCCCTAAGAAAGGACCCACCAGCACGATCGCCGTGCGGCCGACACATAGACGTACGCTCACGCCTACGCCTGCTCTTGATCCGCCATTCGTCTTCCAGCCCCTGCGTCCGGCCAAAGGCAAGATCCCGCCCGCTATCGCAACGAGCATGCCCACCAATGTATCCACACCTACAGTCAGCAACTCGGGTGGTATCACGCCATCATCCTCGACGTTCGGATCCAGACCATCGAAGATCTCGCTTAGAAATGATTCTAAAGGAGAAGACGACCATGCACCGTCGCCGACTCCCGTTTTCAGACGGAGTACAGGTCATGTCAGGAAGCCATCATCCCTTATTGGCATCGAGACGAAGCAGAGCCAGAAGTGCATGTCTGATAAAAACAGTGCCTTCACAATCTCTCCTGAAGCAAGGCGCGGTCTGGGACTACGTGGAACTATGGGTGGCGACTCGTCGGCGGAGCCGCCTATGGACCCTGAGGACCCTGACTCAGACATTCCTGATGAGCTGCAGGTTATACTGTCCGGCCAATCCGACGACGATTGCACTCGCCGCCTCGATGTGGGGAGAAGCTCATGCCGGGAGTCGGCACCGCCCTCTCCCATCTCCCCGTCCGATATTTCGTTCCCTGGGTCCCTTCCCGATGTGGCTGCTGCGGCCCCCATATTGCCAGTGCTGCAGCTCGATGACGAGGACGGAAATCACGCTGATATCGACGAAGCCGGTAACGGCTCGTCATCCGAAGATGACACGAAAAAGTCCTTCGATTTTACCGGGGAGTTGCAAAAGCTGAATGAGTCTGGAGCATCTGATCGACACAGCTTCGTAGAACAACTCGAGAATGCTTTCCGTACACCTGCGAGAATTGATCTTGGCTACGGTCTCGGTGAACATATGGGCCTCGATGAAGGATTCTTGGCGGTGCCACCTGTTCCGGCCCTCCCTGCTAACTATCGGCGCACACCCCCCGAAGATGTTGCACCGCGCAGTATCTCGAACCCAGCGGACGATACTGTTCTCTATGGCAACTCCTGCGACCCAATGTACACAAATTCCTGCTTGTCTGAGGAGGTCAGCTTTGCCCTCGACGAGACTGGAGAAGATATGTGCAGGGTGTACCCAACCAACAAGAGATCGGGCTCTATGCGGTCGAAGGCATCCGATGGGCAGCTGAATGTTGATTTCAAGTTCGGTGGGATACCGACCATCCCTTCGACGGTCGAGGAGCAAGAGCCCGAGAGGGCGCTGACATTATCCGACATCATACCGCCGCCATCTCATTTCCGCTCGACTTCCCAGTCATATGTCGCCGAAGAGGATAGTTCCGTCCTCAAGTCTATCATGGCGAAGGCGGTAGAAGTGGATATGCCTCCCCCTGTACCTCGTCGACGAGCTCTCTCAGATTCTAGCTCTCAATTCAGTATGCGAGCAGCCATACAAGCGCAAGACTCAATCGTATCTCAGTCCACGCACTCCAGGCGCTCTTCGGAGGTCAGCTTTGTCGGCTTCGAATCTTTCGACGAGGTTAGACGTGCATTTGAGTTCGGCCCTAACCGTCCTGCGTTCTACCCTCCCCCTGGTGCTGGTGCTACCGGTCGTCGGTCACATGTTCGAGACATGTCCCTGTTCAGTGTCGCATCCGTATCGTCCTACGGTGACATTGTCGACTCTGGCTCGGAGGATCCGTTCGGATATGCTCGCGGTCTTAGCCGGCCGCCCTCTTCCGATATGTCGATGTCGATGTCGATGTCGGTCGATGATACGTTCTCCTTCATCCACCGTGGTCGCCGACAGAGAATCGATAGTGATGCATCGAGCTTCTACTTCCGAGCTCCGGGTGCCAACCAAGCGCTGCAGGCCGGAAGACATGGCCATCGGCGTCATGAGTCTGGAATATCAATTGCTTCCAATGCGCCGCCGGTCAGCCTCTACAATCGGAGCTATGGGGGGCACAGGAGAAGTGAGTCAAACGCCAGCGTGAGCTCGATGGCCCATTCATATGCATTGCACGGTGCGAGCGGAGGTCGCGCAGCCTGGGCTCGCCATCGACAAGACCCATCAGTCGATTCGACCTGGAGTGAAATCTCCGCACGGCGTCTTGGACGTCCTGGTTTGGGCGATAAGATGTTCGAACATGAACCTGGCATGCCCCTCTCTGCAATCTCAGCCTCTCCTCCCGAGAGTGTTGCCAGTGATCTCCGTAGCCGTGGTTCCTGGGACTCGATCGCAGATGGAGGGAAATGCTCCTCGGTGGATGACTCTTTGTTCGAGAAGTCTGACTCCAGGACGTCTATGTCCTCTGACTCGGTGTTCGGCCACGATGAATCGTACCCGCAATATGACAAGCAGCTGCCTCCTCGCCAGTACCGTCCCATCTCTGTGCTCAGCGAATTCAGTGTCCATAGCCCTCGCAAGGAAGATGATACGATGATCACAGTGAGTTCATCCTTTCTTCCCAGACGCGTTAGCATGCATAATGCTGATCGATATTGAAGATGCTGGACGGCAACCATGTTCGTCGACGATCCATTAACTCGATGATTGGGGCTTCGCCGTGCGTCAGAGTTGAGAAGATGAAACATTCTGCAGTACAGCTACCTCAAGCTATTCTACAATTCAAGCAAGAGGACTCCAACAGAGATGACTCTCCGAAGAATAGGTTGCTGCAGCAGCCTTCCATAGCATCAACGAGTTCTCATCAATTCGGCGATGAGCGCATGATCATGGCGCGCAAAGGCCTACTCGAGCGGCAAAGCCTGGAAGACAGTGCACTGATTGCACACGGAGAGGATCTCTTGGCTTCCCGTAAGTGCTTGTTGTCGCCCTCTCGAGGCCCAGCTAACAACAGGCTATTCAGTGAGATCACAGTCCATCTTCTGTCGGCCCGAGCCTGCTTCGCGCTCGCGTTCGAGTACTGTGACCTCAAGCTCGGGAGCGGAGACTCCGCCATTGTCCAGCTCCGACGGCTCGTCGATGTCAGGCGGTTCACAATCCAGCATCGACATCGGACACCTCAGTTCTCTGCTCGTCAACAGTACCTTGCCTAGTAGTGGCGCTGCCCGTGCCAGAGCGCGACCTCGAGCTCGAGGTACTGGACATCGACGCCGAATCTCTCAAGCTCGCGCATCACGGACATCTGTTTATGAAACGATACAGGAGGAACCATCTACTGCCAACTCTCCATTTTCAGTTCAAGCCCTCGGTTGCTCTACTGGCGCTCGTGATTCCATTTTCATCGTCGACGGCGACAACGAGTCTATGCACAGTGACTGGGACGATGAACGTGGCATTACAACTCTCCGTCGTTACTACGCACTTAGGGACGAGGCTCAAGAAACCGTGTCAGAGAGTAAACGAGTCTGGCCGGATACTGCTTTCTCAATCTTCGCTGTGCAATGTATGTACTCAGCCAATCTCTCGGTTCATTCCTCATACTAATACCTACTCAGCTTTCCGACCGCCAAGCAACCACGGGGGGATGCGTGCCATGCTAGAGCACTCGCAAAAGCACTATGGACCTCTGCCTTCGGAACTTCGTCCTCGCCGGATTCGGTCTCGTACATCGTCACGGGCGTCGCCATATCCTTTGCCTCACGTTCTGCCATCGTTCTCACCTGAGCAGACTAGACCATCTGATATCAGTGCGGCTGTCAACACATCTGCAAGTCGCCGGGACGCCTCGTCGACCACTTCTGCACTCCGAGAAGTCTCGGTCAACGCCAACAGTGGCAACATCAACGCTCTGTCCCCGCCCCCAGCACTGGGTGTCATCAAGCCCTTCACGCCTTTCGCTGTGGAATTCGAAAAATCTAAGCAGAAGAAGGCCCCCACAGGCTTGCCCCCCCTTCCTGCACGGCCAAGGGTCACATCGAGTGCACGACGCACCGCTCTTGGGTGGACGAAACGTAGTACGGGAAAATCAAGTTCTAGCGACCAGAAGGAGAACGTTGGTCAGGGCATGATCATCACGTAAGACCTGCCGATATAACCAGCTAAATGTTTGCTGACTTCTTCCTTTCAGTCCATCTGAAACGCTCAGGATCAACCGTCCTCGTCCGCGAGGTAGGCCAACGCCTCGTGTGTTCGGCGCAGTATAAGGACATCAAACATCAACCCAAATGTCGCAAACTCCTGGATGATCTCACCATCAGTGACTGCACCTGGTTGCCCGTCGATCCAGATCCAGCCCGAGGATCAGTGTCCATATGCTATGGTTATTGCCCTATGCTATCTCTGTTGTTTCACCCCATTCTTCTCCCAACGCATCACAAACTCCATCCATATCGCATCCACTTTACGCTGCATCTCACGAATCTCTGCACCCTGACGAGTACACCACGCTGACGCCGTTACGTTCGATGACCCACGCTCACCATTCGAACTCACTGACACGACGAATATTGATGTTTACTTGTTTCTTGTTCACCCTGTTCTTGATGCTTACGAATCTTGTTTTGGTTCCCGGACAGCATGCTGTCCTGTCAGGAGAAGCATGTTTGCCTTCGATTATTTTCGAATGCGCGTTGCGTCCTTCTCCTATGCCATACGACCTGTACTGCCCTGACGACAAAGCGAGCGGTGTATCCTACCTATTTGTAGAACGAATATATGGTGCATCGAGCGACTGGGAGGCGCGAATACTACTTACGGTATGAGGGCATACGTGAGAAGTGTGCAAGAGACGGATATGTTGTGGAGAGCCGAGGCCCATCCCATTTTGTGAAGTAGAACAGTGTTTGACGGCACTGTTCATGAAATTGTGTAAAATTGCGGATCACTAATGGCTAGCCCCGGACAAAACTTGCAGCTGGACCGCTGCGTTTCATGACGCCGACGTTTGCTAGCAGGGCAGCTCCTATCAACGACAGCAGACATCAAACGGTAGTCTGCGCTTACCAGACTTCCGGTCCCAGCCCTTCGTCCTGCAGTCGGCGATACTGCCCTTCACGTTGAGAGAGCGCTTCAGGAACTTATTCACTCTTGCTGGGGGCATCAAGGCACGGGGTGCCACTGATGGTACGGCTGGGGACGGGTTTGCTAGTGTCCTGATCGTGCGGGAACTGTACAAAACATCCTGTAAATTAACAGGGCTTGCATTGGACGAATACTATACTCACCCCACAAGAAGGTCTTTTGGTTGATGCCTCCGCTTCTTTGATGGCAGTCTTGGTGCGTCCGCAGATACGTCGAACTTGCGTTTTGACGAGGACGGAACAGATTGTACCTTGGAGAACGCAGACTTGAAGAGGTGATCTGGGAGGTGGTTTTTGCTTGCCAAAGCGTTTGTCAGTATGGAAGCTGCGTTGTCGGTTTCCTCTTCGCTTGAAGACCCTTCTTGCACTTGTTCGTCTTGGTCTGAAGCAGCCTCCTCTCCGTCCTCAGAGTCGAAATGCGACGACGCGCTAGCGTCTTCGTCCTCGTCTTCCTCCAATCCCCCTTCTTCAGATTCGCTTCCACTTCCATCAAGTCCCTCGAAGGAAGAGCCCTCCCCCACGTCTGACTCCTCCTCGGCCTCCCTCATCGCTCGTCGCATCCGCACCTCGAGCTCATCATCGGCCCGTCCCTCCTCTTCATCTTCCGCCTCATCCGAACCTGCCCTCCCCGCCGCCAGTAGCGGAGCTCTGCCCTTCCCTTTTCGCGCGGCATTCTGCTTCGCCTGCTCAGCGCGCTCCTTGAGTACACGATCCTTCTCGCGGTTCTTCTGTTTCCGCTTTGACTTCTCTGCAGCCTGGTATTCCTCGAGGGTGTCTTGCGCGCCCTTCGCTACCTGCTTGGACGAGTTGAACGTAAATGTTTCCGGTGCTTCGTCGTCGCTGGAATCAGTCTTGTGTGCCATAGTAAAAACTGATATACTAGTTCCAGACGGACTGAAACAGGCGTGAATGCAGAAGGTTTGGGCTAGTCCTATATAGCAGAGTGCAGGCTCAGACTCACGGATTTTTCGACGATCCAATCACTTATCGACCGACATGATTATCCCAAATAAGGGTTATTTAGAAATTACATAATGCAAGATAACTTCGATCGATTTGGGATTAGGGAAGAGGCTGACTTGCTCTTGCTCTACACCATCCTCGTTTCATATGAATGCTCTGTACCTCAGCCTCCTTCTCTAAGTGCAGTTAGACATAGTCGCTTACTTTCATGCTATCTTATATGCTACTCTCGCTCCTGAGACTGGAGCTGTTCAGACTAGCCAGCACATCGTGGATCTGCTGCCCTGGAGACACTTGGGTTTTTGGTACTTCAAGTGGCAAGGGAATATCAAGTCAGGGTGACCTAGGTCTCCCTATGTGTGCGCATTTCTAGCCCTATACCCATTCGTCTGATGACACACGCTGCCATGCAATGGTTGAGTGCGGAGTCGACGAAGCTGGGCACGAAATCAGTGCGTTGCGTCTGCTATTCAACCAAGGCATGACCGGGAATGGCTGGTATTTGCAACTTGGCTGGTGGCAGGAGGCCTGCCAGACTACCTTAGCTCACATTGTATCACTTGGCCACCACTACCTTGTGTTCTGCATCAAAGTGCTCCACCTTCGACATCAGACTACTTTCTGACTTGACAAGCCCACCGATGATACGGTCTTACGGTTTCCCGGCAACACCACCTTTTGCGCGCGATGAGGCCTCGAGGCATTTTTGTGAAGGTGTCCTTTACTCGATGTCTGGCCTGCTTCAACCTGTGAGTGGTATCTTTCACTGAGATATCCTTGTAATCCCTATCACTGCGCCATCTGGTGTTCCTCACCCCTTGTGAGCATATGATACAACAGTCTATACTCCTATATCGATGCCTGACTCGTAGACGACGAGCGAGGGCTTATGGACAGTGCGTCGTCCTGAAGATCGAGCAAGGAAGTCGAGAGTGACCACTACCCCAAGCGAAGAGGAGCAGAGACTTGAATGAATAACCAGGTCGAACTTAGGGTTCGACCGACTAATGGTACAACTACTTATACAAGTACCAACTGTGCATGGACCATCGTGTCTATGTGGTCGTGTTAGTGAAGAAAGAAACGTAGTGGTACGATGCCAAGTACGAAGTGTGCACGGACCCCATTATGTAAGCTACATAATGTTCAACCTGTGGGTGAGCGCTAAGACAGGCACCAGTATGGGCGCTAGTAGTACAAGGAATAGAACGGAAAGACAAATGTTTCATTACCCCCCTGCCAGAGTCGAAGTCCCATTCGACTACTTACTGCTCACCATCTCCATACAACTCCCAGTCTACGCCGTCGTCCTCCTCTTCGTCGAACCACTCCTTGCGCGTGTTCCTCCCTACGTTCTTCCATTCCTCACCAGAGAGGTGCTTCTGATGCGGCCAGGAGCTGTCCCACGTCCATTGAGTGGTGTCGGGTGTCCAGTCGGGGTCGACTTTGCAAAAGACAATGGGTGTATCGGGGCGGGGGCGCGAGGGTCCCGCGATGGGACTGGTTGGGGGTTCGGGGTTAGCACTGCGCAGTGGAGGAATAGGTACCGCTTTCATCTGCCTTTCTTTCTCCTTCCTCTCCTTCGCCTCGTTGGTGATTTCCTCGAGGAACACGTTGTCGACGACCACCCCCACGCGTCGCGCAGGTTCTTCAGGTGGTGCGGATACGTGTCGCTTCATCGGCCTGGTTCCGCACTCTCGCTCCAGGTGTCCAGGGGCTTCTTTTCCGCATCCTGCGCATCGTACGTCCGGACAGTCCCGTACCCAGTGTCGAGACGATCCGCATCGCCTGCAGCTTCCCTTCGGGGTCCAACCAGGGTTGGGTTGCCAGTCAGCTGGGATGGTAGTGCTCCGTGGTGTTGCTTGGAGGAAAGGGGATGGGATCGGGGGGCACCTGAAGGCAGACGTCGGTAGGGGTGCGGGTAGGGGTAGGTACGCGTTGGGGATGGCGCGTGGGATGAATTTGTTGTGTCACACCCGGATGCTGCGTGATAGGAGCGGTTGAAAGCGATGGGCAACTTTCAGATTGTCGAGTCGAATGAGCTCGGTGAGGACACGGTCGTCCTGTTGACGTAGGAGTCGTTTGTGGTGGTCGATGGCCT